TTCTCGGTGCTCTCAGTATTTTGAGAATTTTTCCGGAAAAACTTGATCAATTTCGAATAAAAAGGTGATATTCGGAATCAGCGCATTCAGGAGTATCTGAATATGTAGCTTTCGACCGAAAGCTAAGATAGTGCTGCATTTTTGAATTGCGGGCACCTTAATTACAATGAATTAAAAAGTATACTCTTGTCTCGAGTGCACATAGATTTGTATTAGATAATTGTTTACGTTAGCTGAGAAAAATCCAAGGGAGAAACAGCTGAATTTAGTTCGTTAAATTCAAATAAATTCAAAATTCACCTGAATTCATCAAAATTCATCTAAATTTCCAAAAGTTCCGAAATATAGTTAAGAACGTACGTAACGACGATAATAGCAATACAAATAAGCATTAACGCCATTCCAAAAATTCATTTGAAAACGAGTAGTAATCTGAAAGTTGAACTGTATATGTTAATGATCACTGATTAACGGATCGCAAAAAATCATTTTAATCAACCTAAATTTCTATTTTCTATTTGATGACGGAACACACATCACCATAGTGATCAGGAGGGTCGATAAGCTATGTTTCCATGTGGCTTCCTCACTCATGCACGTCACAGGAAGAAAGTAATGGGCACCACGAAAAATGAGTACCACCGAGTCACTGTATAAGTTGTAGAACTACTCCAGTTTGTAGTAAAGTGATGGGACGATCTCTCGTACGTGTTGAATCTAAATGTTTACGTGGTCTTTTATTTTTTGGATTGATAGTTTTCTGGAATACTTCTAGAAAACTACCTCAGGTCTGGATCCGAAACCCACAACCATATACGTTTTAAGTGCATGCTGTCTACTTTCAGATAATGAAATAATAAAATTTTTAGAAGTTTGTGTGTAGCCATCGTAGAAGATCTTCTAAGTGCCTTCGACTTTCGGCTAAAACTCCTTGGAAAACCTTCAGATTTTGATTTTTTTCAAGACAAAAACTGTCGTAATTAGTTAAAAGTGAACTTTGTCCAATGAGCCTGTTTAAAAAAATTAAAGAATAACGACGAATATTTCTAATTTGAATATTTCCGAGAATCCTGTACTCAAAAACTCGATTTTCAAGAAGTCCACTGTCAAGTCAGAATCAACCAAATCCAATGGCAACATTAGATACAGCAAGGCCGAAACGATCCAGATAGTGGTGTCAGAACATCTAATAGACCTTGTTATGTAAATCTAAATTGATTATCATATTTTGTTATTAATGATTTTTTATGAAATAAATTCTTTAATTCTGTATCTGACATCGATGATTTTGTTTTAGCTAACACAGCCGTTTTGATTTCAGTTGATCGATGCAAAATTGTAAACGATTCATTATTTTTTTTGTTTCTGTAATGCCTAATGCATCTTTATCAATTGATTTTAATGTGTCACTCCGTGTTGACGTTACTGATAATGTTGCTGATGAATCATTAGAAGTGGAGGATGTCGATAAGAGAACTGCTTGAAGATGAACGAAATGATTGTGATGATGATCTTTTATGACGTTTCGTATTTGTATTAGCATGTCCAAGGCTGTGCGCATGTTTACGTTTTGATTTTTTATGTGATTTATCATACCTTGAAAAACGGTGTTTGTTTTCATCAAAGCTTTGTTTATCAGATGGATCATCATTGGCGTCTGTAGAGCTATTGTTATCATTATCTGATGTATGGTGAAGTTAACATCATCATCTATATAATCAGGATCTCATGAATCCTCACCCTCATCTGCTTTAGAAATAATGCTATAATTTGGTGATCGGAAACGTGTTATAGTTAATATGAAATGTATATTAAAGATTGTTTATCATTTTTTTTGAGTCCTTGCGCTATATCTATGCTTTTGTTCGATAAAATTTCAAAACATTGCATTCAAAAATTTCGCAATTTGTGCTATTCGTAATATTATTACAACGTTGACAAGTCTATGTTGAGGAAATTGTACAAGCTGAATCACTTTGAATAGATAATTACAGAAGATCATTCAAATGGAACGTATCATCTATGCTATCTGAAGGTTTATGTTTTATGAAATGTTCTTTTTGGGAAAATGATGGAGTGAGAAGTCGGTACAGGTGTTTATCAATAATTTTCTTCTTTCACCTCAGCTAAACGTGTTTATTAAACGGAAGAAGAGAGAACAGAAAAGCATTTTTTACAAAAATAACGAATAATTATGTTGTCTAATTCGTTATCCATCCATGCATAGATAAAAAGCATTCGATATGAAGTTAAGAAAAAGAGAGCTACATGAGTAAATGATTAATTGTTCTGCTTTCATTATATTTATGCATGTGACAGAAGAACATAAGTACAAAAATAGGATTGACGCAAGGTAACGTTGTCATAATTTTGTCGGAAAAATAGTGTGTAAAATCAATGACAAAAACTTTTAATGCACAAGTAGAAGTCTCTCCTTCGAGTGGCAGCACATTTAAAAGAAGCAGTAAAAACCTGGTCATTCATTTGGTAAATTTGACGCACATCACTCGTGCGTGATAATTTGCTTAACATGATCGTATGCCCAGGCTGATTTTATACAATCGTGAACGACGACTTACGGCTGAGTACGGTCGTATTTCATACAGACATTATACATTATCGTATACATACAACCGTCGTAAAAAGCCGTACACGATTGTAAACGGTCGCAAACATTTTCTTTACGCTCGTCGTATTACGTCTGCATGTATACGACGATTTACGATCAGATACTTATTAGTACGACCTCATTACGACCGTAAACCGATCATAAGTATACGTATACGACGGTCCTTTTCATTGTCCTCGGTGGTTTGAAAATACAAAATATGTATTTCTATATACTACAGCAGTTTCATAAAAAATCATATCAAATAACAGTATATTTCTTGTATTTTTATTAAGCATGTTGTGTCGCGTTAAGTATGTTAAATAGAGTATCGTTTGACATTATGAATCCATGTGAATTAATTTTAAGACAACTACACAATTTTAAAGAACCTATGAAAACAGTGTAAAATCGTCATCTTTAACGAAAGTAGGTTTTTACTAGTCTCAAAGATTTGTTGAAGAAATAAACGTTCCCATTAAGCTTTGCAGTGCCACCGTTAGGTCATGTTTCACTAAGGTTCACCTACTAAAAAAAAAACGGTGCCAAGTCTCAAAGCAAACTTTCGATATCTTTCCTACAAGTAACAAGCCTCTGAGATGGTCATCTATATCTGTCCTAGGCATTAACTACAACTCTGACCCGCAGTGCTGGCCCGTACCGAAAATCTACGAAGAATCATCAAAAGAACTATAGTGTATGTCACAACACAGTGAATATGCTGTCGGATGATCCGAGGTACTGAGATGTAATTAACTTTCCCAAGGCTATTACAGGACTTGACGATGGCTTGGTTCGAACACAGTACCTTAGAAGTACGCGATGAACAGCATAGTCACCAAACCATCATCTAATCATATGAAGAAAGAAAGATATCGTTTTCGAGTAAAGACCTATTCTAGAAATTTTGCCTTTGAAATAATATTTTAAAACTTATCTGATAGAAAAAGATGTGCTATGATTTCCACTGTAAAAAAACTGCGTCTTCGTCAACAGCATATCTATTGCGATGAATCAGACACATTGTTTAGACAAATGCATGTCATTTGGAATATGTTGTCTATGAAGGTAAATTAATTGTGTTTAGCATATTATGGTTTATTTTAACTCATTTCTAAAGAAATAAATATAATCAAAAAAATATGTGTTGTTTAATATTTCTTTGGATTAACCTCAGAAAAACATGTAGAGTGACTAGACACGTCAAGTCGTCTGTACACTCTAAAAAAATTGTCTTAAAATAAGATGGTGTAAATCAGTTGCAAAATAGTCGGGTCCATCATCTTACTTTAAGATGGATCAATATTTATCTTATTTCCTTAAAAATTGTATCTTTTAAGGATAGTCTTGTACAACAGAAGGGGTGGGTGAACAGAACTGCAAGAGTACTTTATGCACTGATCATATCGATAATCATAGTACGACATCGGATAAATTGACAAATTTTTCTAAAGAAATCATTCCTCTTTGTATACGAGTGGCGAACGCAAACATAAGAGATTCTTCCTTAGTTAGAGAAGTAAGACGGATGAATATCTGGAAGAAATAAATCTCTTAAAATAAGACTAGTGAATACAAAAGGTACGAATTTTTTTGATCGTCAAATATTTTTACATACAAATGACCACCAAGAAAGAATACTTTTAACATTTTCAACAAATTTTACGTCAAAATTTTGGAATATAAATGATCACCAAATTGTGATCAGTACTGAAGATTGTTCATTTCTCAACAAACATACAATATAAAAAACATGTGTTTACAAATGAAAACTGTGCCTTTCTCTGGACGGGCTGTACTTTTTCATTTCTCTAATGGTTGAATAAATGTTTTATCACTAATTTGAAGGCCTCTCCTGTTAGAAATCTTTTTTTGACATAAAACGCGAAGTTCTGACCAAATTTTCACAAAATATTAGTCTTGTCTAGATTAGGTTAGGGTAAAAGTTTAGCTTGAAAACTTGAGTTTCTCACAGCCATTTCAAAAATGATGGTTAAAAAGTAGGTATTGCCATTTCTTATATTTCTTCTCTATTTTAAGTGCTAAAAAGCTTGTGTTGGTCTTAAAATGGCAAGAAAATGAATAAAACACCGTTTGAATATAGGATGTAGAGTGTTTTGTAGAACGAGAGTAAATCCGTCATTTTTTAAGCTTAGAATAGTCTCTTGAAACTGTGTGTTGAACAAATGACATATAAAATCAACTCATTTATTCTGATTCACTTTAAAATAAATATATCGACGGCCTTTTTGTATAAAAAGACAATCGTTATATAATTATCTTAAAGTGATATGAATATGCCTAGTAAAGACAATATAAATCTTATTCTGACTCATACGTTATTTTTCATTGAAGATTATAAATTATAAGCTAAAGCCACAACAACAATAAAATGGAACGTATCAGGTGGAGTGAAAAACGTATACCATTCAAAAATATTATAGAAAACTCATTGATTCCAAAACCGGCATTGGTTCAAATTGGTCAAAAAACAATTGTTGTTGGTGAAAAAATAAATGGCGAATTCATCATGGCATCACCATGTAAAGTTGTCGGAAATCGATTTGATGTTATGGAGCAAGAAATTGTCCTATCAAGTAAACATACCGGTTAGTTTACTCTTACGATTGTATTGTGCTGGTAAAAATTAATGTTTATTTATTCTTCTGTTTCAAGGTCTCTGGCGTGTTATATCAAAATCATCTTCAAAAAAAGAAGAGTCAATTCATCGTTTAACCGTGAGAGATTTAGAAACTCTTTATCAACGAGATAAAAATCATCAAAGAGCAAATCCGCGTTCGTTCATCTGTATTCGCGATGTGGAGGCATTTGAACTTGTTATAAGAACAGGAGATCCATCCACTGTTGATGGACGCCGAATTGACCGTCGAACGAAACAAATTGAAGAAGATACTGAATTTGAAATAACATCAGGTGGTGAGATTGAATATACACCTTCGGAGGGTGAACGAACATCTCAAGATTACGCGTTTGTGCCAAAGAAAAAACAAGGTTTAATTCTTTCATTATTATTACCTGGTAATTAAAGTACATTCTTTTCTCATAAATTTTGCTACAATGTTGTTTTCATTTTCAGGGATAGTTGAACAAGAACAATTAGTTCGAAATCGTACACTTCGTGCATTATTTTGTCGAACAAAAGGCGAAACCCGCAGCAGACATTTTTTACTCGAAGTTAATGAACAACCGTGTGAAATCCGGCCGATAGCATCCGAGGGCTCAGTAGAATTGAGATACTTACATTCAACTCAAAATTTATATGAATATTTACATTCTCACAGTAGTGATACAGCTCTCTACGTGAAACTATTAAGAGGTGATCCACCAATCAAAGCAGTTGAGTTTGACGGTTATTTAGTGTTGAAGAGCGTGTTGAATGGTGATAAAGTACCGATTTGTCGAACACAGGATTTGGAAATAACGCTTGTGAGCCCAGATATTCCAGTTCAAGTACGATTACCGACAAAACAAGAACATTACTGGCGAACTTTATCGGAAGTACGTGCAGCTGAATTACAATGTATGCAATTAGCATTAGCATTGTTAGCTCGTCACGAATCTGAAATGTACATAAATAATGAAAGCGGATATAATGGTGATCTATCGATGATACAGTCGACCCAAAATCCAGAAGAACTCAAAAAACACATTGAAGAATGTGAACGAATATTTGCATCGCCAGCAGCCAAAACAAAAAGCGGTGACACTCTAACGAGAAAACCGACCGATTCAAGAAATAAATCAACCAATGTGATAAACCCTCCACTAGCATCAAGTAATGAAACAACAGGACAACCTATCCACGCTACTTCCGACAAACTTTATAAATCATCCAATACGTCGCAGCAAACAGTAAATCAAAAACATAGCAGAAACATTGCGGAAGCGCCTAAAACGTTGATTGCAAAACAAAGTACTACGAAAACAAGTACAACTAGTACGTCGTACACAAATACCAGCCAAAATGTACCGAATCAAATGCCCAAACAAAGTGATGGTTTTTATGATCGGTTTAATCGACTAACAATAAAAGATAAAACGACAAGTTCGTCGATAAAAAATCCAAACTTCTTAGAACGTCAAAATTCAAAAAGTTAAGTAGTACCAAAGCTATGATTATTAATAAAGTTTTGGGCATTGCATCAAGCGGAATGTGTACATACCAAGTCTAAGCTTAAACAGAACAATACCATTATACAGATTTTGACTACCGATAAAAAGTAGAAAACTTTTTCTTTGACTTTTGGCCGGTGAGAATTTGACTGAATGGCCTTCCTTTTTTGTTCACACTTTTGCAGTCGAGCGATCGAGACTGCGATGTACCTGCTGATAAAAGTCAGCTCCGGCCCTTTAAAGATAAGCTAACTCCATGAGGATTATGGAATAGCCTCTGTCTTTTTTCAGAGCTGCATTCTATGTATTTTATACAAATAAAGCTTATTCTATTATTCACAAATGGTTATACAATTGTAGAGTGAAGGTGAGCTTCAATGACCCTGGAAAATAACACTGTATGCTCTTGTGTATAGACATCTGTAAACTGTCTATGATGCCTAGGGGCATTGCTAAGTTTTAGTCAGTTGTCCATAGAAAAACTTTTACTTTTAGTTTTGATTTATGATAAATTAGTCCAGTTTAGTCTCGAAAAATAACTCAGATCACCATATCCCCAGTCAACGATCTCAGAAATAATTCCGTAGAACTTGCGAGACGAACTCCCGCGGAAGTTTTTAACTTTAACAACACTTTTTTGCTTATTTCCGATTTTTAAGTTATCTTATTCCATCTGTTTGTTCAAACGAAAGTTGAGTCTAGGTAATCACCGGTACCGATCAGTTTCAATCGGTTTCAATCAAGAACTTTATCATAGCATATGCGAACTGGTACTCACTTCAGTTGTAGCCGGTAACGATTCGAACCGGCGTGATCCTCGGTAAAACAAAAAGGTAAATGTGTCCTACACAGTTTCAGAGGTAGTCCTGGAGAATTTCCGAAAAATTCAGAAGTTTTTATTCGAAGAATTTTGTCGACAATCCCGCTGAAATCCCTCATGACTTCTACTAAAATTGGAGATCCACATGGTTCTATCACGACTACCGAAGAGTCTTCTAACGGATTTTTTACTTTTGCAGTATTCCTGTGAGATTAACCGCAGAAAAGTTGACTAGGATATTTAACATCTCTGCAAAAAAAATTGGTGAACAAGTATAGACTAAAACGTCGGTTCTATTCATGGACATTAACAGAAAAACTTGTATATGTAGAGCGGGCTCTATTCGGCAGTAGCAGTGTGCTGTAGGGTTAGATTTTGTTTTGTTAAAATTCAAAGTAAAATATTGAAATATAGTTTACGTTATTTACGCACAGAGTTTCTATTTTATTTACTTATTATCATTCTCTTTTTTATTTACTTAGACACATCAAGAAGTGCGTTTCATTAGAGTAACTGTTCCATTTTTACCACGTCCATGACTTCTGAAGGTTTAATAACGTTTTTCGAGTTTACAAGCAAAGTTAAGAATAAAAATTTATTAAAACTTTTTATTAAAATTCTTAACATGATAGCCGCATTGGTTTTAAAATTTTTATTCTGAAGGTTTACTCGTATCATTTCAGGTGTGTCTCAACTATAATATCATCCTCACACATCACTCACTCGGAGTTGTAGCAAAAATTTTAGAGTTGGCGATCCAACCAACACAAAAACGAACGAAATATCAACAGTCATGAATTTAGTATTATCAAGTGGCACTCAGAAGTTTAGCACATTTTTTATCTTCTACTTTTTTCCTCAATGAAATACGTTCAAAAAGTTTCAAAGTATGCTATAGACAGCCTATACCATAGGCTATCATAACCATATAAATGTGCGGTTACAAAGAAGCACTGAGATTTCAGAAAACAAAATATTTTTTTCCCATGCATCAAAAGTTCAGCACACTTTTCTTTATTTTCAACTTTTTCTTGTTTTATGTTAGTTTAGAAAAATTGACTTACATACCATTCGATAAAGAATTTTATGCTCTACATTTTCATAAAAAGAATTTTTCAAATATCTATTGTCTGAAGTTTGAAATTTCAAGTTTTCTAAAAAGTGGATGAAAATGTTTTCCAAAACTCGGAAAAGACAAAATTTCTCCACAAAATGTGAAGAAAAATAAATTCTAAATACGTCATCCGAAAGAGCGTAAAAAATTACACAAAACTGCTAGATCGAAATGACATTTCAATCAAAAGTTAATATCATTTGAAAACCTTTCTTGAATAACCTATAGACATTTTCATATGAATACATTCAACCGATGCACAATCAAAATTATCACACTCGATCTAATAATTTGTATAAAGTAAAATAAATATTCGGAAAAACAACTAATTATCAGTCCTCTTTCTTTCCAAGAATAACAAAAATTTGGAACACACTCGACGTTAACTTGCGGAAAATCATAAAAACTAAAGAATTTTGCGAGAAGATAACAAAATATTTTAGGATTAGTAAAAATATCATAGTACAAAAAGAAACAAGTAGAATTGCTGATATTGCTTTCCATGAGATGAGAATGGATTTTTAACACTAGGATATGGAAGAGATGTAATCAAAGATAAGAAAGCAACTTTATGTAGTTGTAAACAACAAGAGATAGTCGAACACTATTTTCTTCTATGCCCGAACTATGTTCTAGCCAGATAAGAACTTTTTAAGAACTTATCTCATAGTGACTCAAACATAGACATTGACTTGGACACATTACTACTCAGAGGACAATTTGAACCAAACTTGTACAAAGATCTTTACTACATCATTATAAAGTATATATAAAAAACAGAATGATAAATAGACAATGATCAATATTTACATACATTGATCAACATTCCTTCTTTCCCCTCCCTCCGCTTCATCTATTCACTATACCCGCAGCCTTTTTTCTCTTCTTTCAACTTTATTTACCTTTATTTTATTTTTTTGTTAGTTTTCTTATGGTAAAGAGTAACACCTTATAAAATAACTTCTTGAACTATATAATGGCAATTTGCCGCTTTAGTTCGAGGGTTATTAGGATTTCTTTATCTTTAAATAAATATAGTTTAAATCAACCTATAGACATTAAAACGAGCGCCAATTTTTAAATTTTCAAAATATGGATATTCAAACAACAGAATAAAATCCCAAACTAGCTTAAATTTGTAGAGCACAATTTTCTCTACAAAATGATGCCTTACCCAAGTTGGTACGTTTAGAAATAACGCTGGCTGAGTCCGTTTAATTTGTTCAATTTTTTGAAGTGCCATGGCACTTTTTACAGCATTTTTTGGACATTTTTGTATTTTACTTATAACTTTTGAATGATAAGACATATCGTGCTCGGGAACGTCTCATTTTAATGAGGAAAATATTGTCAACGATATTTATACGTTCCCGAGCACGATATGTCTTGTCATTCAAAAGTTCTAAGTAAAATACAAAAATGTCCAAAAAATGCTGTGAAAAGTGCCATATTACAAATGTACTTCAAAAAATTGAACAAATTAAACGGACTCAATCGGCGTTATTTCTGAACGTTTGAAACAAAAAATGGATGATTTATCATCATCCAACAAAATGAAGAAACTAGCATGGTAAAAAATATGGAAAAGATAATGAAGCAAATGACACATTGTAAAATATTTGTAAGTCTATTTAGTTATTTCTGAACTTATGCATGCCATCTTGTGCTTTAATTTAGAATTTACCAGAAACAGCGCCGGAGAAAAATTGATAGACACCTGTAAGAAAACTAATTTATCAATTTATAATTGCTTGTGCTTTTCTTCTCCTTTTTCGTAGATATTAAATGGACAGAATTTAATACAATGTGTGATTCCACTCACTAGACCACGAAAATTATTATGTACTTATGTTAGAAAATTTTATTAACAAGAAACGTTACTATATTTGTAAGGTATTGGAATTAGAATAAAACGTAAAACTTTTCTAAAAATTTTGAAATACATATCAGACGACTCATTTTTTGATCCTAATTCCGAATATAATATTTTTATTGCAAAAAGGTTCGATTCTGATAAAGAAAATTGAGAATTATGGGCACAATTTCGACGTTTTCGTCTCTGATTAAAAAAAAATGAATTTTCTCAGCAATGAAAAGAAAAATGTGATGCATACTTTTATGACTGGTGGTATCATGAATCGAATTAGATAAACTAAATGACTTTATCTCTTAGGCAAAAAAGCTAGTTAACTTTACAAAATGCTTCATATGCATGTCGAATGGGCGCAATTCTAGTTCGCACGGTCAATGAACGCTTTGTATTGAAATTGATTAAACGTCATTTCTATACTCGGTTTTTGACGCTGAATCCGAAAAAAATGTTTCAAAATCCGAAAAGTACAAAGCGAAAAATTTGGCGTATTGTGAAAACAATGCGTTTTTCGAAAAAAATCGATCCTTCCGAGTTTTTCAAATTTTTCGATTCTGAAAAAATCATTTTCAGAATCTAAAAACCGGTTTTTCTCACTCACCTCGATGCGCTCTATCCAACCATGTAAAGGAAAAGGGAAAAAAAGTTTTACTTTTCATTCCAATTTCCGGCACCATACAAATATAGGAACGCTTCTGTTACCCACCATTGTGAACAAATTTTCATTATTTTCACTAGTGATAGTGGCTGAAGGTTAGATGCAAGACCAGTTACATGTAGATTTATAGAGCTTGTCATTCTGCACTGTGAAAACTAAAAATTTCCGCCTACAGTACAATTTAGGATGTCATAAAATCCCACAACTGCGGTATCAGTATAGTGGCAGAAGTTATATAAGTATTTGCTTGTAATTGTCCGTGTATCTAGTCTTCAGACACTATAACTAGTGAAAATATTGAAAAATTTGTTCACACAGACAAGTGACACAAAAGCAACGGAGATTAGAAACGGTGACTAATTATATCATTGGATATATATCTCCAAAGAGCGCTTAAAAAGAAACCTCTATCATGAAGACATTTCACACGTATTTTGTACACGTTCCGAACAAGACATCCGCAACGTCTAGTTCCACACGCGTACGAAGCGGACGTTTCGAACGTGTATGAAATATTCGGAACGCGGATATTCTCCGTTTAAGTCGACTTGGTGGATATTTTTAGGCTCAGAAGTGCCGAATCATTTGGAGGAACGCACCCGCAGGCTTTTAACGGACAGGGGTCTGTTTCTCAATACAACTTAAGTGCGGCCTGTTTCTCGAAAAAACTTAAGTTTTACTTAAGTGAATAATTTCACTTAAGTAAACAGGAAATTATACTTAAGTGTTTTTAAGAAACTCACTTAAGTAAAATATTTTTTACAGTAAAACTTAAGTTTTTTTGAGAAACAGGCCCCAGTATCTTGAACAGTTTCCACAATACAACTTTAAGTATATATATTCATTTCATCGAGCATTTGTGCAAAAAGTCAATAGATAGAGGACGGAAGAAGTATGACTGTAATGGCGATCTAGAGATACAGCATATCAGTATGTCTAGCATGTGTTTTATCTATATGCGTAATATCAATACATTAGCCTAGAAAAAAGAGTCGGCCGTGACGATCTCAGAGGATACTCTAAACTCTGAAAGCTAGCACAGCTGCTTTGTAAATTGATTGTCTGAAAACAGTATTCAGTCCCATTTTGTAAATAAAAATAAACAACTACAGCAATCTTTATTCTGCCAGAATCAACTTAAAATTTCTAGTTTTATCGTAAACTGAGAATATGAGAAAATTTGTTAACATCATCATAATGAAGTTCATAAATTTCATAAATAAAAATGATGTACTGAAGCATGGCGTCTTATGAAATTTAAATACGGAGTTAAGTGATGTTAGGAGAACGTGGTGATAGATTCTCTCTTTGTTGACGTTATTTTTGTTGTTAAAATCGGCACATGATCGGTATTTTTGTGATTCTATTTTTTCCAGTAATATATTCATCATCTATATATCGTACTACTTTTCTATCTATTCTGTCTACATAAAAATGCCAGTCGTCATTTGTTGATATTTTGGAGTCAGGATATAACGCACGAATTACACTTGTATTTGCAGGCAGTTAAAATTTCTGCATGATTCTACTTAACTCGATCACTAGAACTATGACCTTAGAGTAATATACTTTTCCTCATATTTCTTCTAATTTAGTGTTTGAGACGACGTTGTTTATTTTTTATCGTTTACAAAGTCCGTTGTTATAGATAAAAAGAACTATGGAAAGTTTTCAGAAAAATCGACCAGATTTAGAGAGTAGATGTACGTACATCGTGAATGGTGATAACGCCAAATGCCCTCATAATCTTAACATAAGGTAAACAGGATATCTCAATAATTCATCATTATATCTACTTAATGTATTTTGTTTAGACAAAAATCAATAAAACAAAAAATTTATCCGAATATTCTGTCACTTATTGGGGATACACCGCTTGTTCGAATCAATCGTATTGGTAAAGAAGCTGGAATAAAATGTGACTTATGTAAGCAGCCCAAGAGCTGAGTTGCGTAAGAGAATTGAAGTTACGTGTTTTTTTTAGTGGCTAAATGTGAATTCTTTAATGCCGGTGGTAGGTACGTATCTACAGTGTTGATTGATAGTAGATCTTAATATCGTTATTGTTCACTTCAAGTGTTAAAGATCGCATTGGTTTGAGAATGGTGGAAGAAGCGGAAAAAGATGGGACATTAAAACCTGGCGATACAGTGATCGAGCCGACGTCAGGTTTGTCTCAAGATTACGTTTTATAATTTAATGATTAATACTCTACATTTAGGCAATACGGGTATCGGATTAGCATTAGCATGCGCTGTTAAAGGTTATCGATGTATTATTGTTATGCCTGAGAAAATGAGCAAAGAAAAGGTGAAGCCTTTCTAATCTATCATCGTTGTGTATGTTAATAATCTTTTTTTTTCGTTCTAGGTTGACGTATTAAGAGCGCTCGGAGCTGAAATTATTCGAACACCTAATAGTGCTACATTTGATTCACCAGAGAGTCATATTGGCGTTGCTCATATGCTTAAAATGAAAATACCAAATTCACACATATTAGATCAATATAGAAATCCGTATAATCCTATTGCTCATTATGACACAACAGCTGAAGAAATATTGGAAGCATGCAATGGTATTAAATTTTGAATTACGATTAGGGATAACATTAGAGATGTTAAAATCAGATAGAAACGTCTAATTTTGTTTTACCATAAGCGAACCTTTGTGATGAACTACTCTTTCACAAATAGGATACTCTCTCAAGTCACATCGAAAATCACTTGCAAAAGAGAATGTGCTTTGAAAAGGTAAAATGTTTGGTAACCTAAAGCTTATCAGCTTCACGATACTTGCTAACAAACTCCATTTAACTTTGAATCGTACTTTGCATTTAAAAACATTGCTTCTTTCTCACTTTCTGCACTACTACGTTCACCTACTTTCACAATTATTAACATAGATTGATTAAGAGTCTCTAAACTTTTTCAAACAAAAATATCGTATGATCTTACATTTTTGTTATTAAAATTTCAGATATGAATCTCTGCCTGCTTTATGTTCGAGATAATAGCCATAAAATTAAAAATAGGTTTATATAACACATAGTACGCTCTTCGGAAATATTTTTGATGAGCAGCCTGCTATTCGTATATTATTTGTATTAATTTAGTAGGTAGTATTATTAATTACTAATTGCTTTGGTGGTGCACTATTGTTTGTGATTATTCACCAACTATACTCACAAACTTTTCTGTCAATATGTCGGAACTTTTATGTATGTTTTTGTTAGGTAAAGTTGATATGATTGTTGCTGGCGCTGGAACAGGTGGAACATTAACTGGTCTATCACGAAAATTGAAAGAAAAATGTCCGAATTGCATTGTGGTTGGCGTCGATCCAGATGGAAGTATATTGGCTGTGCCGGAAACTTTGAACAAGACTGGTATTTCATTTTATGAAGTAGAGGGCATTGGGTAAGATGGAGACTCTGTTAATTCGTATAAAACTATCTTTGTTTTTTTAGATATGATTTTGTTCCGACGGTACTTGACCGGTCATTGATTGATCGATGGTATAAAAGTGGTGACAAACTATCATTGAAACTGTCAAGAAAATTAATTAAAGAAGAAGGAATGCTTTGTGGAGCATCGTCTGGTTCAGCAATGTCATGTGCACTCCAAGCATGCAAAGATTTTGGTTTGAAAGAAGGACAAAATTGTGTTATCATTCTACCAGATTCTGTTCGAAATTATATGTAAGTTGGATACAAAAAATCGAATAGATTAGTTAATCATCTTCGTTTGTTTCTATTGTTTAGGACCAAATTTTTAAGTGATGAATGGATGTTTGATCGAGACTTTTTGGATTTAAAAGATAGCTCCAATGCTGAATGGTGAGTTGCAGCAATCAGATCAGGTTAAATCGCCGCTATAATTTTCAAAATGATTGTTTTTAAATAGGTGGAATGCACTTCCTGTTAGTAGATTAAAAATACGTGAACCAGTTACTGTTTCGACTGACACAAGTATAAAAACGGTCTTGGACATTATGCATGAAAAGGGCTTTGATCAAGTGCCGGCAATTGGTGAAGATGGGTATTTAGGCTATCAGTCTCTTATACATCAATTAAACAACTTGTAACTTCCTTTGTAGATCATTCAAAGGTATGGCAACGATGGTATCTATTATGGCAAAAATGTCTTGTGGTAGTGTTCATGCTCAAGATCTTGTTGTGAAAGTGATCACTGATAAATTTCGAACAGTAAATTTTGTCATGTGAATGATTTTGTTCATTTTGAGTTGAAAAAATACATGTATTCCAGGTTCGTTTGGATGATCCATTGTCAAAATTAAGTCGAATATTAGAAGTGCATAATTATGCTGTTATTAAATTTGCGCATGAGCAGTGTAAGAGGGAACGTCGACTGCTGGACTGGAATTTTATATCAATTGTTTTTTTAAATTTTAGACGATGAAAAACTGACAAGTAAAACAAAACCGGTAGTTTTTGGTATTATATCAAGTATTGATTTGTTAGACTTTATTATCAAGAATAAACCAGTTGAAAATGGTGTTGGTGGCGGAGGAGCGACGAATGGACATACAAAAGATAATGGAATAAATGAAAATATGAAGTCTGTTATCAATAAAGGAACAGAAGCATTGTCTTAATATTGATGAGCGTGGAGCTAATAATACAGTTAATAGGAAAGACAGTTTTTTTGTTTTAGCAAAACTACTCAGGTATTTTTGTTTTATTGAGACGTTTTTCATGTCTACTTATATGCGGATAAATATTTATACTCTTATCTATTCAAATATATATCTTATGCATGCAGAATAACGTAACAATCGTATGGCGCATTTATCACCAATTTTTATGATTTTGGTACATGTCTCATTTGTATAATCGTTAATAGCACGTAAATTATTGATGCTTTCTTTCCCGGTGACCTCTAAACAACCATTCAGTTTATGAGTGTTTCACCAAAAAATAGTTATTTCAAACGTCTTTATATTAATTTACTAATTAAAAGTATTCTCAAAGAAGTATAAATATATGTAATGATTTTCCTTGGAAAAATATGCAAAGAAGCGCTTTTTGTATATTAAACACGAATAATATCTATTGTTTCCATACCATATATAAAATTGAATTTTCTCTATAATTACGTAAATGCTCACTTGATGAATCTCTAATAGTTTCAACTTAATTAGTAATTTTTCATAGAGATCAATACATTCGCTTATCTCGTTTTTGACAATATTAGTCACTCTAAATCCTCACTAGAATAAAAGATGTAGTTATAATAACAGTAAACAGACGAAATCAGAAAAGCCAGAAAAACCCAAACTACAGTCCATATCTACTCATACTTACATTGTTTTGCTGACGTTGATGCCAATTACCTGCCAAAAATGGTCGCTGATTTCAATAGCAAAAGAGATGATTCGATAAATGAGTTCTGGATACGAATGATGCAGTTATGTTAGCGATTAAATGTCGCCGTTTACTAGGCGAACAGTTTTCTACGATATTTCTTGGCAAAAAATGCTTTAACCCTTTCGTGCCGGGGCTCGTATATATATATATATGGGCTCAAATGGGCTTTCAAAAAAAAAACGGCACGAAAGGATTAAAGAAAAGAACTGAATGAATTTTAAATATAAATCAGGTTTTTTCTACAAAAGAAACTTCTTCTGTCGAGTTAAAATATTCATCTCTTATGATGAAAATTGGCATTCTTTATATTTTCAAAGCATTATCATTTTCAAATTTCGTTGGGCTTGGACAGACTATTATCTGGAGGAGTCGTAACATGACTCGATGAAATTCCATAGAAGAACATGTCGGAAAATTGCAAAAATACATTGATTCTCTTTTATTTTCGGTGTTTACTTTAATCTTTGCCATGAAAACAGATGGAGGATATCTCCATTCATTCCATGCATTCTAGCACTTCCTAATCAAATCAAGAGGCTAAATTTTTGATAATCACTCTATTTATTTATTTATTACAAAGGTGCTCTTCGTCTATCTTCGTTGGTTAAACTAAAGTGACAATGAGTCACCAGCTTCTATGGCTGAGAAACGTTGATAGTAGCGCCTTACTGTAATTGCAGCTTACTCTGACCTTCTGTCTCAATCGTTCTCGTGATAAATGGGTTGGAATAAAAAACTGAGAAATTATAACTGACAGGAGGCAACGCTGCTATGAAAATAACAGAAGAAGGAAAAAAGTATAGTAAGGAGGAAGAAGACTTTTCCTACAAGATGGACGAACTAATTCACCCACTGTATTTGTCATGTCTATTTCTATGAATCCGCATGACCAGTCGAATACGTCTCATCTTGACTACTGTCTGAATATTCAAAATATGCCAATTTCAGTGAGGATAAGTCGCCATATAAGTTTATGATACTACACTTTCTATGAGTTCAGATAATTTAAAATATTCTTGTTTGATGATAAAAACAGTTCCGTGCGTGATTGCGTAATGCATTCTCAATTAAAATACGATCAGATATAAATAACACGCTTAACATTCGTCATAATCTTTACATCAAGAAGGAACCGAATTTGTTGAGCGTTTAATATCAAGCGTACAATAAATAGTTTTTTGATACTTTAGATTAAAGCAACAACTATGTCATCCCGACGTTACAAATCTCGGAGTAGAAGTAGATCAAGAGAACATGTCAGAAAAAGTCGAAAACGAACAAGAAATTCAAGTGGAGATGATAGTAATCACAATTCACCAATTGTTGATCGCCAAACTCCAACTCTTTCATCACCAGTCGTTAACAATGAATCAGACAGTGGTTTTTCAAGTAAGCTTTAATAAATATTTATATCTAATTAGACGAAGGGAAAGACAAATAATAGCATTAGAGAATGTTTATCTGTAGTTTGTTTGTTAATCCGACAAGGTCCCACTTCTGTTGCAGGTGATCCACAACAAGCATTACTGAAGAAACGACGTAGTCGTTGGACAGGAAATGATAATGATAAGATCTTTATTCCTGGTATGCCGACAATTATACCATCAAGTATGACGAAAGAACAAGAAAAAGCTTATCTAAGTGCGTATAGCTGAAATTTCGCTTTTATATGATTTGTTTGAGAGTATTGTTTAATATTTTTCAGTGCAATTACAAATTGAAGAGATGACAAGACGTCTGCGAAATAACGACTTGGGTATACCAAGTGCTCCAGAGGATAGGTATGGTTTATTAATGACTTTTGTTATCTTAGAACCCTTTTCTGTATACATAAGAGGAATTCCCCTTAATTATGCCAAAATTACTGTTGTATTGATACCAAATTATCGATTATATTGCCTGATGTGTTATAGTGCATTTTATTTATGCTATTTTGTTTCTTTTTTCTTTCTTTTAGATCCGACAAAAAAAATGTATTCAGCAAATTTTTCTTGATCGTGTTCGTTAACTAAAAACTTGAAAATTGTAGCAGCTCGCTTTCTCCCTCATTCCTCAAAACTCGATTTGTTTTGGTACTTAGACATTCAGAGAAGAAGTGAGCGTTCTTGAAAAATAGTGGTTCCTTTCTCTTCGTGCCATTTAATTAAACATTACCATTCTAGGTTAAAACTAATCTAAGACTCACTTACTATTTTAGCTATTTGACGAATTAATGAACGAAATTAAACTGTGTGACACTCACATTCGTCGTGTGCTCTAACGGCCCAAAGGTGTCGTTTTTCGTGTTTCTTTTATTCTATTCAATCGAAATATAATTAATAAATATTTTTTTAGGTTTCTTAAATCTGCTAGCACTAGACTTTTTGCGCTGCTATTTCGTAAAAACAGGCCTATGTATCAGCAGTTATCCATCAAATATATATCTTTTTTGTATCTCTTTCATTGTATGTATTCGTGATACTAATATTTTTTTCTCTTTGTTTACAGGTCGCCATCGCCCGAACCGATTTATGATAATCAAGGAAAACGTTTAAATACACGTGAAGTTCGTGTGAGAAAACGTTTAGAAGAAGATCGACATCATCTTATTCAAGAAATGCTTTCAATTAATACAGAATATAAACCACCTTCAGATTACAAGTATTAGGTTGACTAAAGCAATTATTAACATATTTAAAGGTTTTTTTTTGACGTTTTAGACCACAACAGACAAAATTTATTGATAAAGTCACGATTCCACAAGATGATCATCCAGATGTGAATTTCGTGGGTTTACTAATTGGTCCACGTGGTAATACATTGAAATCGTTAGAAAAAGAGGTTTGTAGATTTGCTATTCCATTGTCTAAAATTAAATAACGTTTACTTTTTTTAGACAAATGCAAAAATTATCATAAGAGGTAAATATAACATTTATGAGATTTTTTTTGTACGATAACCGGATGTATTCCTTATATTTTAGGGAAAGGTTCAGTAAAGGATGGAAAAGTAGGAGGACGAAGAGATGGTACACCGCTACCTGGCGAAGATGAGCCATTACATGCATATATAACAGGAAACACGCTAGAAATAGTTTCAAAAGCTGCAGATCGAGTATGTAACATTGATATAGTCTCAATTTATCAAAACAAACTTTATTTCTAATTCAGATACGAGAAATAATCAAAACTGGAATAGACGTACCAGAAGGTATGAACGAATTGAGAAAACAACAATTAAGAGAGTTAGCTTTATTGAATGGAACGTTACGTGAAAATGATTGTCTCATGTAAGTTGATATTGATATATCTTATCTCTATTGAGCAAAACAAGTTCGACTCAGTGTGAAAAAATGCTTTTTTATATTTAGTAAGTTAAAATTGGTTACTGAAGCAGAAAAAATCATCACAAATACTATTATATGTACCATATGTGGTGGCGCAGGACACATAACAAGTGATTGTAAAATGAGAAAAAATCCAGATGGTACTTATGCGACACTCAATGAAGATGGTACACTCCAATCAAGTACAGGAACTAATCGCGTTGAAAAAGAGAAATTGGATACAGAGGTATTTACTTTAGCCCGAGTGTTACCGAGCTTTATACATTTCTGTTTTCCTATTTTAGTATCAGTCATTAATGGCTGAACTTGGTGGTAATAAACTACCGAACGACAGCCAAATGAGTTTATTGGATCGAAAAAACATGGTATCCTCCATGAATCGAAATCCAGGACCTATTCTAGCTCTTCCGTCTTCGCAATCATCTTCATCTCTAAATGGCGATGCTAATAACAATAATATGGTAATGATTCTTTACTTCATACTTATTTTTTTATATATATTTTTTATATATCACCTTGCAGATGATGAACAGCAACAATCCACCATCTTTGATGTCGATTAATATTAATCCGTCATCAGACAAATCCAATTATTCTAGTAATAATAATAACAATAATAATGATGGGTTTGGCTTCTCAAAAAATTATAACAATTCCAATTACTCTTCGTTTTCAAATAATGACTCAATTCCTTCACTGATGTCTTCAAACAATCAATCGTGGTCAACATCAACAAGTCAGCAGCAATCATACAGTTCAAATTATACTGCACCTACTATACCAACTCCCCCGCCAGCACAACAGCAACAAAATATGTCTAATCAATGGGCTCAATGGAATCAATGGAACGCTGCTGCATATTGGAATCCAATGTGTTGGTCAGGTTATAACTATCCATCAACCGCACAAATGCCTCCTTTGCCAAGCGCTCCAGCAGCAGTTATTCCACCACCACCGCCGCCTCCTCCACCACCTCCTCCTCCACCTCTGAATTGAGCAAAATACTTTTCATTTTCTCATAAACCAATAATGGATTATTTACTTCTTTACTAAGACAATTTTCTCTTCGAGTCTTGTTGTATACATTCTTTTTTTGTCTATTGCTTTCAAAATGTGTCTAATAAATATATATGTAGAAATGTGATGTACTACTTTTTCATAGAAATGTACTCATTCCGCAACAATATGAAAAGGGTAAGATGTAAAATTTATTCAACTGCTAGTTAGATTATTATTTGGTTTGTCATACCATATGTTGATAATAAAAACATAACAACTTTTTTTTTTATTATCCACAGTGTAAATACATGCGCAAAATGAAAGGAATGATTTACACGCAGCTTTCTGGAGTATTCGACTAGAAAAGTTTAGAAGGAAAACTAGTAAAATATTCTTATATTTACAGAATATGAAAAATTGCCTGTTTAAGAAAACACTTTATAAATAGTGGACCTCTTACATCTTGAATGTACTAAACTCAATTTATATTCAGTATAAAAAAGCTTGTTTTCGAAAAAAGTAAGTTTTGTGCAAGCTCTTGTCTCCTTTAGTTTATTCCGTTTTTGTCCGAAAAGAACGAAAACAATCGAATCCATTTCATAGTTTTAAACCTTGTATTTGTCTTATAGCGCACTATTGTTAAACTACCCAATCTAAATACTGTTAAAAGTTTGTTTGTATCTGTTTACAATCAGAGACCAAAAAATTCAAATTTGTATTGAACAGTAAAAAAAGAGACAACTTTGAATATAAGTATTGCCCATGTCTTATACATTTAGCCTAATACCGACTGATTTTATGATGGATCAATTTATTGTAACCGAAATAACCGATCTATTATAAACTTTGACTCTTTTTTGTTCGAACATACTCTTAAAAATCTTACTTATTCAGAAATATAATGCAATCATAAATATACAGAGTAAAAGACAGCCTTATACATCGTATTTAAAGGTGATTCCAGTATGAAAATATTTTTTTCCGAGGACATTTATTTTAGAGTTAATATAATTTGTGGCGGCAAAGGAAAACAAAGAAAACTGTTCAACTTCAATTGTAGGTAAAATAATTTTTGAAAATATTTTTCGTGCAGGTCAGCATTCTTCTAATGTAGTATTTTATTGTATTAAAGTTTGTTCATAAGAGTAGTAGGTCAGACTTTAATCTATTTCGCGCGTGACACTCGGCTTATTTAAGTGCAGATTGTCAAAGCCTTTCAAAAAACAATTAGCAAACTGCCGCCTTTTCAGTGGTAATATTAAACAAAGATTACAAGACATTATTGTTTCCATTTGTATCCTCTCCATTTACCCTTTGGCAATTCATTCGAAAACAATTCTATCTGTCATGTCTGCCGCTTATTACATTCCAATAACTCTCGTTTACTGCTACAAATACAAACCTATTCTATTAAAATGTTCATGGTCGTTTTGTCTTTTGAAATAGCGTCACGCCGAGTTTTATTTTTTGTACAATCGCATCATACGGATGATTGACTTCTACTCTTTTAGGAAAAGTTTGGTGTGAAATGTTTGACTTTTTTTATTAGTTATTTAGTTAATCGAATCAAACATGGGTTCGAGAATCATTGAAGGAAAGAAAAATGTAAATAATTCACTTTAATTAATTGTATTATTTGTAAATGTACTTTAAGCGCTTTCTAAATTCGTCCTGTCAAAAAGTATCGTAGATTTACCGTTGTACAACAAAAATTTCTTATATTTTCATTATAGAATCATTATATTTAACACATTTGTTCGCGTCTGTACAAGACAGAGAAACATTTCTGATTCTCCACCTTCTCAATAACAACAATCACAATTACAAAGGACAGCAGCAACAGATGAACAATCAGACTTAGCGAGTAATAATCCATGTGTAACGAAATCAGCCAGCTGAGACTAGAGAGCCAACTGCCCTGTGAGAAGATTGGAAAGTCGACTGAGTGAAACAATAAACAAACGAAATTAAAAGACCAGGCAAGCCATAACAGTCTGACTATTTTTCAAGAAGAATAACGATACACTTGTCTAGAAAATATACTCATTTTGTCGTACTTGTCATAGTATTACTGAAGCAAATATCGAAAAACTACCTTCAGATGTATCATCTAGGACTATACTTTCGAATCATCTTTTCATCAAATCTGTACGATCAGAGATAATCGAGAACAAGTGTCTGACTAGAACGAGAAAACAGTGTGGAAAGAAAGAAAGAACTAGAGATCCAACTGCCTGCGGGAAGATTGAAAAGACGACTGAACGAAACGGTCAACAGACGAAATTAAAAAAAGCCAGAAACTCATAACAGTATGACTATTTTTTAAGAAGAATGTCCATTGCTTTATCAGTTGATTCATTATCGTGTTATATATCCTACTATAACTTTAATAACTACTATGAAATGAATTGAAAGTAGGGGAGCTGTAGATGACACATCTGAACTTAGTTTTAGAATATCTGCCTTAGTTATCCTATAATTAGTGTCACAAAGTAAGTATATACAAGATTTAGAATGTGTTTATGAATGTATTTGTACGGAGGTAATGATTTTATGTAAATGACAATTTTTCGTATGTCGATAGCGATCGATGCATTTTGCCACTTCGTCGTCTATCACATCGCCGTATATTGGTGCATTTCTGATCCATATCATCATATGTATATGAGAAGATCCGCGTTTTTGAAATTCAACCCAATAGAAATAATCTTGCGCTTCCCATAATGCCCGGCATTTTGACAGAATAATTTGTTGAAAAAATGATCTGAAACGTTTATCAAACACTTGAACAACCATGACAGGATTACTATTGAGTAGAAAATTTGTTTCGTTCCAAGTGTACTGTCGTTTTACTGGCGTGTGTTATGACATTTTACTAAACTTTGTAATAGTTCAGGCCACCGAGTGTCTGCTCCTGAAAACTACAGAGCCATGTAAGAACTCCTAGCTGTCATATCGTTGCAAAAAATTAACTCAGTGTACTAGACCAGTATTGCGAAGTGACTTGTACTTTCTGTAAATGTTTGAATATAAGATCTTTTTTGAGCAAATTCGAAACGTTAGTCTTATTTCCTAGATTTCTCGCTGTTACTTGTGATTTTGGACAACTTTCTCTCAATTGCAAGCCTATTCCTGAACTAGCCTATCAGCCAAATTTTGTAGAAAAAAGATATCATGTGGATCAGATGCATGCCGCAAATCAGCGCTAACCAATCTGCTATTTGTATGGAGTCCTAAAATGAGTTTTTGTTTACGTTCTGCGTGATAAATGTTCATCCCTTGAGGGAACAAATGCGGAAAGGCTTTTGCTTCTAATGCTTTTTTCGTAAATAACGATGCTGGTTGGTGTTTTTCCGCTGGTGTAAGTTTGTTGCTTCTGTTCACTATCACACATATTATTAGACAGAAAATGTTTGATGGTACAAGTAGAAATATTTTCTGCTTTTGTCTTGAATCTTACCAAAGTCTGAAAAACGAATTTCAATATTAACCATCTAACTCTGTACTTCTTCTGTAAACGTTCTTACTGATACATAGCACGATTCTTTTGTTTTTTAAGCAACTGCCTTTGTTGTTGCTGACTTCGACATTATTACCTTTATTAGGAATGAAATATTTTAAGCAAAAAAGTTATTTTTTCTTCAGTATTTCATTCCTGCTTCAGTTGCTAAAATGTGTTTTTAACTATCTTTAGCTAAAATGTGTTTTTAACTATCTTTAGCTAAACTTGTTTTTTTCAGATGTTTTCTACACAAGTTTCGGAAATGCTCTCGGCAAACACCCTTGGTGATAGCTTCTGGCTGAAATCAACAAACGACGGAGAATCCGTTTTAATAATCTAAAAATCACTTTTTAGTTCGCGCTTATGCTTTTCAAGCACGACCAACTCGATATCAGGCGTTTCCTTAGTCGTAAGAATCATAGTGCTTTCTATAAGTAGCACACAAAAAACGAACAGAGAAAAAAGAAATTACTGCTGACCTGAATTTCTTTTCCATTCTAATTGACATTTGTTGACCTCGACAATGTCCTTTTGTACTTTTCGCGTAAATAAATGTATAAACGCAGCTGCTCACCGAGAAAACGGCGAAGTTCTTAAAAAAAATGCTTCACTTTAAGGACTCATTGTGAACTAACCAAAACCTATTTTTAAAAAATAACTTCATATGTGTCATCTGAAACACTTGTAGATTTGAATCATTTTCTCAAAGCACGTGTGTGTAGTAAAGAACTCTACATACTTATCGTTAATTATTAAGGTAGAGAAAAAATGTTCACTAATATAAACTGTTCAATTACTTATATGATCGACTTCTGACTTCTATATCCTTATTTCAATTGATGTTTTAGGGAAGGCTGATTATATATACTTTTGTATGTGTAGTTTGACTACGACATTTTTTTATTTTCCTACAAATTTGATTCTTTTACCTAAAAAAAACAAACAAACAAATAACAAAATTGCTCGTGAAATGCAGAAAAAAAATTAAATAAAATCCTCACAAAAACCGGCTTGTTGCGTGAGAGAAGAAGAACAATAACAAAAGAGCATTTGTCCATTGAATCTTCTACGATTTTGAACAGATGTAGAAGAAATAAAAAGGAAATCTCTTTTGAAAAGGAGAAAAACACAGAAAGATCACATATCAACCCATTCCGCCCAGCCAAGCAGGCATTCCAGTCCTACTGGCAGGACCTCCTGGAGGAAAACCCGCATTTCCTGGAAAACTCAGGTTTAATCTTTTTATTGCTCTTCCTTGCGCTCGAATGGCAAATAGTAATGCAGCATATTGGGTTAGTTTTTCTTCACCACGACTACAATGAATGGCTTTTTCATACAATTCAGCCGCTTCATCAAATTGATTTCTAAAAAACAAATAAAAAAAGTCATTATCATTACATAACAAATTTGGTCATTAAGAGATTACCTGTTACATTTAAATATAGCATACATGGTTAAAACAGTTTCATTTGATACATCATAGTCTAATGCTTGTTTATACAATTTTTCGGCTTCATCAGCGTTCGATGGATCAGTTGCCATTAAACAATTTCTACGAAAAACACAATTCATGATTTTGATAACTGTTAATGATTAGATAATATTCGTTAGAGACTTACGCTTTAAGCGCTAATAATGTTGGACTATCTGGAATTTCTTGAATAAACTTATTTAAATACTGCAATGCTTTATCTGTGCGGTCATTGTCTAAATAGGCTGATGTTAATGCTAATGAATAATAAATATCTTTTTTACATGTATCAAAGTATTCTTCAAATTGTGATAATGCTCGCTCTACACGAGATTTATCGTTATCTTTTGAGCCAACTTTTGTATCATTAATCAATTTCTGATATTGTGCGCGTAAATTTGTTGGTGATATTTCAACTGCTTTAATAAAATCTTCGTGAGCATCATCATACTGCTCTAATAAAGTTTTCAGCTATACAGGAAGAAAAAAGATAAAAAGAACGATAGGATGTGCCACATGTTTTCTGTTACCATTCCTCGATGAACTCTTGGCGCACAAGAATTTGGATGTGTATGGATACATTTGTTATATTCGTTCATTGCTCCTTCTAAATCATGTAAATGTATTCGAGCGTTGGCACGTTTCAGCTTTGCATTTATTCTCATCTGAAATGGATGGAATATTTAATGACAACATACCAACAATATGTTATTTTTCTACATACTTCTTCAGTTGAACTTGGATTACTGACAACAATATCAAAATCAGCTACAGCTTCGTTGTATTGACCGATCAGGATATAAAATGATCCTCGCAATAAATGTGCGTGAATTTTAAATTGAGAATCTTCACTCTCAATTTCACGTGTGCATAAATCTGGTATTTGTAAGAAATTTCCGTCATCATGCGCTTTATATGCTTTGGTCAAATAACTGTAATGATAAAACGAAAGATAAAAAATATATAGAAGTTTGATAAAGAAAAGATATCTACTACCTGTCAGGATGTGTTCTTAGCATTTCATTTATGAATGATGTACTTAACACTGGATCATCTTCAAACTCATTTAAAGCTGTACGAACAAAATCTTTTGATAATTCAGCTGTATTCTGAATAAAGAGAAAGTTGAACTTTAGAGTTTTATACATTTATTAACATCAGATACTTACAGGTGGTAGATTTCTGATATATTCTTTTGCTAATTCTGTTAATACTTTATCGGCTGACATTATGTAAACTTGTTGATAACTATCCAAAAAACAAACGGTCGAATAATCTAAATAAGACCAAAGAAGTTGTTAGAGTAACATCTTTTTCATCGAAAATAAACTCATTACCTTCTAATGCCAATTCATTATTTCCTGCAGCTTCAGCGGCTCGAGCACGTCTTAGGATACATTTAACATATTTTGGATTCAATTCAATCGCTCGAGAACAATCTTCAATAACTCTTTCCATATCTTTCTAAGAAATGAGGGAACTCTGGTCTTATTAGTAAACAATCAGTTTTAAAATCTCGCTTACAAGCGACTCATAGGCAGCAGCTCGATTCTGATAAAACTGTGATAAGTTTTCAACATAGGTAATCGGACATGTATCAATTGCTTCTAGATAAAAAAAGACAGAAATAAACATACTTCAAAAAAATCACCAGTTCATCTCACTTGTATAATATTCAATGGCTTCCGCAAACTTCTTATCATGATATTTTGTGTTGCCTTCATTTTTTAGCTGAATGGCTTCTTCTAATTTGATATCCTGCAAAGAACAACAATAACAACGTTGATTTAAAACCAATAGTAATACAATAATTATCATGATGATACTTTAAGCTTTGTACTTGATGCTAATGTTGTATCGCCTTCATCGTTTCTAATCGTTGTTGTAGTTGTGGTGGAAGTAATTGTTGATCGTTTTTTATCACCATCACCTTGTTGTTTGGATTTTTGTTGTTGTTTATAGATTAGATAACAAACGACTGCTGGAATACCAATAAACAAAGCATATTTGACAATCTTCTTTCCAAGATCCGATGTATCACTTTCTTTGACAGTGCGAATCAATTTTGATGCCATATATAAATAAATTATTTCAACTGTAAGACAACTCAAAACAGAACAGTTAAAACATCAATAAGACTGTTTAGATTTTATTATAGAATGTACGAGTATCATTTCTCGCACATATATGTTTTGAACAATTCGAAAAATATAGCTGATATACAGTTAATAGAGGGATATTTTGCGCGTACGTAATTTTCTGAACAATTAAAACTAAACGGCATGCAAAACTTTTTTTTGTAAGCAGCAAATAAGAAGAGTGATTCAGACTCTTTAGTGTATGTAATATTCAAATTTAAACTCTTTTATGCATTTAACATATATGTGACATTGGATGGCATTGGATGAAATAGAAGAATGAAAAGTAAACTGCACATGGAGGGAGCAAAGTACAAAGCGACAGTGATTGATTATGTTTATCTCACTATTCACAAACCTAATGTTTTTGAGATAAAAAAGAGATTAACAAAACAGAATATCAGGTCTTGTATGTAGAATTATCTGTTTTTCGTTTACTTTTGTTCTAATTGTCAACTATTCATCTCTAAGAAGAATTTATACCATTGTAGTTTGAAAGTACATTTAAAATATAAAATGTAACAGTCCGTTTCTTTCCATATTCCATTGCTCAAAATTATTTTCGCAATTCTATCCGTACTATTGGAGTACCATTTTAGTAGACATTTCCAGGTCATTTATACTGATCCATTAACGGACCCTTAATGGTGCAAAAACAGCGTAAGGATGGGTTGTTAACGTTAACATAAACTGTCAGTTTCAAGAACGTCAATCAAGGATCTAAAAACGAACCATTTATCATTAGAGTGTCAGAATGGAGTCCATTTTATATACCGTACACGGACCGTTTTTAGACAGTTTTCTGTCGATGGAAAAACGGTCAGTGTGCTGATTTTATTTTTTGTTTCTTTTTTTGTTTTCTTTTTCAAGATGGCAGTGTGTATTACAGAACTAAAACTTTTACGGATTTCCTGTTCAAAAATTGTGCTTTTTTTCATTTATAGGAGATTTATTGACGAAATCAGTTCAGTTTAGTTCTGAATGAATGAATGAATGATTTATTCACGAAAAGTGAGTCATAAAAGGTCCCCGACCTATAATAACAATGACTCGGGCCAAACAACAGCAAAAAGAGTCTATAAACAGAAAAATAAAATAAAAAACAAAAAAGTAAACTAGTATACGAATCAGAGAGATAGAAAAGAAAGAATAAAACTACAATAAAATAAGAGTTCTTGTTATTGTATCTCGCCAGTTGACAAAAACTCTATTTGTTTGCCTCTAGATTGAAAACAAAAATCTTTTCTTCTTTTCGATAGTTCCAGTAGTGTGATTGAGTGCCTGTAAAAGGTTATTCCATGATTTAGGTGAGGGATGCAAAATTGATAGTATAAAAACTTCCTTTTTGGAAGTATTTGGGATCTCTTTAACGTGGTGCTAACAACTATGTGAATGTGTTTTAATTGTGTAAATTAGTCTTATGTTTTGATTAAGGTTAATAGTTGATCGGCTTGAGGCATTTCTATTAATTAGATCCGTAACTTATGAAATACTTATACAGCTTTTAATCACTGATTTTTTCCAGATATTCTTGCTATTGTAAATTGCATTATCACAGAAAAACTTCCATCATGAGGCGTTCGCTGTCACTTCTTTCACGATTATCACCAGTAAGTTTCAAAATCCTTTCTATATTTTACTCACATATTTGGATATTGTTTATTTGTTTCTCTAGAAATCATCTACTACACAATGCAAAAGTTCTTCGAGTACAGAACCAAAATCAACGGGTGGTTTACATTTTGGTAAGTAGAATTTCGTTCTCTCACCATATTTTAGTGAAAGGATATTGTACTTTTTCTAGAGATCACTGATGAACAGAAAGAAATGCAAGCATTAGCAAGAAAATTCGCTAAAGAGGAAATAATCCCTGTAGCTGCTCATTACGACAAAACCGGTGAATATCCATGGCCAATAATTAAGAAACTTCATCCTCTTGGTTTAATGAACACGCACATACCACAAGAATATGGTTCGTATGTGTGTGGTGTTTTTTTTCTAATACTAGAAAAATTTGTCCTACTTCTTAGGTGGTGTCGGTCTTGGCATACTTGATGCATGCATTATTACTGAAGAACTCGCCTATGGTTGTACGTATATTTAATTTTAATTCTATGTTTATTTTGAAGGTCTACATCATTTTCTATGTTTTAGGTTCAGGTATCCAGACCGCTGTTGAAGCAAATTCACTGGGGGTGATAATGCATATCAATTAAACTCTTCCTCACCTTCTAATGTTGACGTTATTTCTTTAGATGGCGCCTGTAATAATAGCTGGAAATGATGAACAAAAGAAACGATTTCTTGGTCGATTGATTGAAGAACCTCTGATGTGTGGTTATTGCGTCACGGAACCTGTAGCAGGTTCTGATGTAGCTGGAATAAAAACACGTGCCGAAAAAAAAGGTGATGAATATATTGTTAATGGTCAGAAAATGTGGATAACGAATGGCGGTGTGGCGAACTGGTTCTTTTTATTAGCACGTACAAATTCCGATCCAAAAGTTCCTGCTTCAAAAGCATTCACAGCTTGTGAGTGTTTTTTTAAATAATCATTTGATAATATAAATTGATTTTAAATTTCTTTTAGTTGCCATCGAAGCTGATTCTCCCGGTTTAACACGTGGAAGAAAAGTGAGTTATGATGTGAAAAATTTTCAACTTAAATTGATTTTATACGTTGTATTTGTTTAGCATGATAACTAAATTTTTTTGATCGAATCTAATTCTATATACAATAGTTTGACAAATTTATTTTCTTAGTAGGAATGGAATATGGGACAGCGTGCAAGTGATACGCGAGGAATAACATTTGAAGATATGAGAGTGCCAAAAGAAAATGTACTGGGTAGTGAAGGATCTGGCTTTAAAGTTGCTATGCAAGTTTTTGATTTAACTCGTCCACCAGTAGCGGCTGGTGCCGTTGGCTTAGCACGACGTGCAATGGATGAAGCAACAGCGTATTCATTACAACGAAAAACAATGGGAAAATTGATTGCAGAAGTAGGTACTCATTACTGTCTTTTTTATAATTTATTGTCAATACGTTTATTATATATTTTAGCATCAAGCTATTGCATTTATGTTAGCAGATATGGCTATTGGAATCGAAGCGGCACGTCTCTGCACGTAAGTCGATTGTTTAGATTGTTATTGTTGTCTGTATCAATTTTTTTTCTTTATCTAGCTATATGGGTGCATGGCAAAATGATCGTGGTGAAAAAAATACATATCTGGCATCAATTGCAAAAGCATTAGCTGCTGATGTAGCAAATAAATGTGCTACAGACGCTGTTCAGGTATGAATTAAATAATCATTATACTTTATTTTCATAATAAATTAATATCTATATTTTCTATTCACAGATATTTGGTGGCAATGGGTTTAATACAGAATATCCAGCTGAGAAATTAATGCGTGATGCTAAAATATATCAAATTTATGAAGGTACATCACAAATTCAACGTTTAATTATTTCACGTGACATATTATCAAGAGCAAAATTAACAAACCAATAAGTTAATATACCAAGCATATCGGTTAAATTTATATTTTTTATATGCTTTTGATGCCGTCTATGGAATATTTCTTTGATCAACTGATCGTTAAGGTAATTTATTATTGTATGTATGGCAGAGAAACAAAAGACTACTAGATTAGTAGAAGTTTACAATTTATTTGATGTTTTTATTAGTTTTTTGTTAATTTCTAAAAATTCCCTATGGTTTTTTTCTACATCGTGTTTATTCTCCAGACGAACTTTTTTTTGTTTCAAAGATAATTTCGTGTTTGTTTTTTTGTTCTGGTTATATTTTGCTGGTTGGAACTGTGATAGATCTAAGTTTAATTTTATATATACGATGACGACGATGATTCAAAATCTGTTGCTTGCGCAAAAAATTGTAGCGTTTTTCCATTCAATTGTTAACTTGCAATATTTAGATTTTCTCTTTTATCTGTTTTTACAGCTGGTTAAATCAACTTATCATTTTTAGATGTAAATAAAGATAAATAATTCTTCACATAATATAGTCGTACTTTCTGCTGAGTTTATTGGCACTGATCCTTCTTGTTTAATGATTTGATGTATTTTTATGATTTAATCATTTTTTATCTAGTCAACAATCTTGTTCCACTAAACAAATACTTTTAATTTTAAAATTTCGAAAAATGTTTTTAACTGCTGCCCTTTATTGCTCATGAGCGTATGTATTTAAAAAAAAGTAAATATACCATATTTATCATTTGTTAATATCAAATAAATCGAAAGCAATGGATTAATACTTCTTTAAATGCTAGTCATTATGCAAATTATATATTAAGGAATTTGACGTTTTTATGATACACTATTTTTACTATGGTTTATATCTAACTAATTAGAACAGACGTTTTATGCTTTGGATTACATGTACTTTTCTTTCGATATACTAATGATAAGCTTCTTTTACACGCTATTTTCAAATAATTCTAATTGTATGCGTATAAACGTTTAAAAAATATGTCACTAGAATCATAAAGGAACAAAAACAAAGATGGTGTGTTCTTTCTTTAAATGATAAAAAATAATGCTTTCAATTATCATCGATCTAATCCGCCGAATGAAAGGAAGAATAATAGATCTTTTATATGTCTAAGTCATAATTTACCACACAACAACAACAACAAAAGAGAAACAAGAAATCCATCAGGTGGGAGAAAATCTTTTCATTGAAAAGAGTCCAACGGTTATTTCAGCGGGAGTGATTAAAATAAAAAGGTCGTATAAACACCTAGTAAAAAAAAAAAGAAATTGATAAAACAATAGAAACACTCATATTACATTTTTGAAGCTGTTGTAACTTCGAAGCGTCGTTTCTTCTACTTGTAGTATTCAATCATGTTTTCCTTTGAAGATGAGGGTATGTTTTTTCAATGATTTTTTTGACGCATGTAATTAATAGACGGATGAAATAGAGGTATATGACTTTGTATTACATCTACTAGTGTAAACATTTTCTTAAAACTTATCAGTACTAATTCGCACTCATCAATTTCTAGTTTGTAAATATTAACTGATCATGATTATTCTAAAGTGTAACGTGTGTGTTCTTCTATTTTCATAACTTTTTATTAATTAATCATGGATGAGTTCGAATGATTAGTAATTTTCATCTAGGATATAGAGCCGAAAATTTTGAATAAGTTAAATAGAAATTAAAAAGGTTTTATACCAAACTATAAACTACAAATATGTACGCTTGATTTTGAGTTCAACCAATTTAGCTGGACTGGCTATAATTACCTCATGCCACTCTACTCTTAGATACGTTTCAATGAATAGAAAAACAAAATTGATGATGCGAGAAAAAAAAAACGCAAAGACAATACAGATTTGTTTACAGTATATATGATATCTACTTTTGAAAAATAAAAAAATAGAAGATCTATCGATTTTTGTGTATCTGTGAACATCATTGATGGCAATAAAAAATAAAACATGGAACATTGCAGGTAAATTAGAGTAGAATTTTGTTGTTATTATTTTCTGATTGAATTGAAAGCAAAGTTAGTCAGGAAAATTTGATACTGGACATGTTAATCTTACCGTATGTGTGGTAATCGAATAATTATTGAAATCAAATACTCTTCTGAGGATTAATGGATAATTTTCTTTCCAAGATAATTGTAAATTTCCACACACATCTAAACCCATTGCTATAATTTCAGGTACGACCAAGTTATTCTCAAGTTAACACATAATTGTTTCAGGGCATGGTCAGCTAAGTCTACTACTGCAAGAGAATTCTGCGGCGTTTTTTCTTCATTTTATTGTGTCGATATATACCAAACTGAAGCACGCAGAGAGTTGTGAGACGTCTTAAATTGAAGGAAAAAGTCTTGTGAACATTTTCAGACGTATCGACACTCTAGAAAATGCCTCTTGCTGAAGGTCTTAATAAAACATGGAGTATTACCTTTCGATTCTGAAGAATTTAAATTTTTGAAAAGTAGTACTCAATGTTTTATTAAGATCTCCAGAAAGAGGTGATAAAATAACACTAAAAATCGAATAATTATTCGTTTTAACTTTACTTCATGTTAAGTGTCTCTATTGTCTTGAAAATGAAAATGAAAATTTTCGACGTCGACTTTATTTTTATAAAAAGATTTTTAATTTTAATTAAATAAATATGAATCTAAAAGCAGCTGCTGGCACTATTTTATCAATTCTAAAATTTCTACCCCTGAACAAGTATAATGATTCAGAAAAGAGCATTTTCTAGAATGCAGATGCGTCTTAAAATGTTCACACGATTTTTCTCTTCAATTTAAGATGTCTCGCAACTCTTTGCGTGGCTCGTTTTGGTATATATTGCCACAACAAAATGAAGAAAAACGTCTCCCGGAATTCACTTACAGTAGCAAAGTTAGCTGGCCACGCTGTTCACTGGATTCTGCTTTTTCTAAGACTCGTATAGGTTTAACTATTTTTCCTATATATTTTATCTGATTTAATTATTTGCAGATGACCTTGGATTTCAAAGATTCTTTATCTGTTAATGATCACTATAAAACATGAATTTTGTTTGAAAACACATATAACCGCAAGAAATATCATCGACATTTCCACCCAAATCTTAAATTTGGCAATTTTCTGATACATTTAGTGCGAGAAGCATTAGAAAGAAGAGAAAAATACAAAATAGATACATTATATATATTAGAAACACCAGCTATATACTAGATGGTCTATGTGGATCTGCTCTTTTTTTTCTTCTCATTTCATTGCACGTGAAGAAATACTAATACCAACAAACAAACAAACAAAACAACAAACCTTTGTGCGTCTAGTAATTTCATGGCATTTTTTTGTGTATATGTTGTATGTTGTCAGAAATTGTTACTTTGTCATATTCTCTTGATTATGATTCCCTATTCGCTTCTATTAATAAAACAAAGACTTTCTATTATACATATTTCTTTTCTGTTCTCACATAAACAAAAACACAACTAATGTGCCATGGCAAATATTTTTGTTTTTTTTATTTTTAGGAAAAAATTACAGTAACCACCACATCGTTTGTATCTGTCCAAATCTCCCTGTTTTTATCTTCATTTTCTTCCTTCATTTGTCATTTATTATCCTCATTTTTCAAGTACAAGTCTTGTCTTCTTCTTAGAGTGTATTTCTTTTACATGGACAATTGTTGTACTGTAATTTAAATGAAAAATTCGATATTAGAAAAATTACATATCAAACAATACGGTAAGATATACCTGACAAAATACGACATCTCATTCCGTTCATATATTATCCGTGAAAAAATTTTTTGATCATTAAAGGAGACGTGATTGTATGGATCATGTAAAAAGATAGACTCATTTTACTCAGCAGGATTACAATAAAAGATAGTACTAACATAATTGTGGTGTTTTTCAGAGATCGGATCTCAAACAACTATGCTGTTTTTGAATATCAGTTTTTTTAGCACATTTTTTAGACACTCTTGAATAATTTGAGACTCTTCGTCGAAAAAAACGCCGAATCGGATAAATTTACATGAAAAGTGAAATAATTAAATCCCTTACGTTTTTTTTTATCCTAGAAACTTCCCACGTAAAGTGTGTCTATCTCATTTGTACAGGTTTTTTGTTGAAGGTAACTGAAAAATAATTTTTCGCAAAGCGAATGAGAGGTGTTTCTTTTCTTCGTTCACTAATTCCGGAAAGGAGAGAGCAACCGATAAGTCTGCTACTACAACAGATATGTACATTTTCTAAACTTGACTAAGGTTTGAAAGTAACAATAGAAGAGGAAGCCTAGTGTTTTCTCCTAAATAGACTTTCTTTCTGTTTTAGTTTAAATTTTCGATGTACTCTTTTTTTGTATATTATAAGAGCAAAAATATCTCCATTTGAATGAAAATTTATTCTTGGATTTCGTTTCTTCTTTCAAACGTATGACTGTTGTTTTCAAATAATCACACAGGTGTATGGGAGAATTATAAACACCTCGAAGTCATTTTATGCGTGCATATATCATTATCGTCACTCTATTGAAATACGAATTGAGTTAAATTCGCGAGTATGATACGATTGTTAATATTGAAGACAAAACGGTGGCAGATATATGAGAGAATTAGGTCAATAAAAATTATTTTCCATTTGACCTACAAAAAATGAAATGTCGATAGTTCATTAGACAGACAAAACTGTGAGCAGGAAACAAAGAGTATAGACGATGAGTTGGCTTCGTGGATGTTCTAGTAGGTAAAATATATTGTAACTCTAACACTCTAAAAGTCTAGAGGCTAAGATATTTTTGATCTCAAAGCTATATTTACGAAATACACCGTAGTGTAGAGTTTCAATATGATGTGATAAATAAGAGACAGAAATTCAACAAATAACAGAATTTTGAGTTATTCTATGAATAAAAAAGTAAAAAAACAAATGAGATTTAGTAGGAAAAGATAAACAGTTTAGTTAACTTTTAATCTACTGAATGATGAATCAAATGAAATGCATTGAGATCACTCACATTTCTATCACATACATGTACAATATTTTTAATTCTTGACTTCGAACCTGATTACACTGCACCAAGTCTTATAGAAGTGAGCTGGAGTATGTTGTTATCATGCACCATTAACTTTCTTCCTTTTCAATTTCTTAATTTATTTCTTGCTATTTTTTACTTCCAAGTTCTAAACACCTAAAACTTAAAAATCAAGCGTGCATTATTCAAAAGGACTAATTCTCGTTATCTTTTAATGGTGTGTATTTGCTTTATTTAATTCATTATTCTGTGGATAAATGAACCTGGTATTCGATCCATTGAGCCGTTATATATTTTAAGGCTTAGAAGATTACAACAGACAGATGGTATACAAAACTAAAGAGATTTGAGACCAAACTAAGTAAAATGATTTCGACACTTTGAGTTTTACTGATTCAGTGCTCAATTTATTTAATTAATGGAGATGATTGTTCATTTTAATATTAACAAGACGGAAATTTCTTCGCCCTGATTGTAGTCCTTGAATTTCTAAAGTTTCTGAGCAATAGTGCTATAAGAGAAAAAATTCGTGTGTCTATTTCTTTTATCAAATAGGAGTTAGCTAGTTCGTTCTTGAGCAATATTATCCACCATCTTTGATATAATTCTACAGTCCGTTGCTGTAGCATTTTCTTTTAATACTTTGTCCATGAACAATTTTATTTGTAATTATGAATATATTAAGAGTAGAATCAAAAGTGCGCCGTTCATTACATAAATCGCAATATCGATCTCGTTGCCGCATTCTCTCTATGACAAATAATCAGAGCTCCAAGAATTTTATTAGTATTGTTAAATTTCAATTATTAAATAAAGGTAAGTAATCATTTTATGAGTTTTGTAAATGAATGGAAGAATACAGTTTGATCCTATGAGATTTTGATGTCATGGAGTACAGGATAGACAGTAAATCACACTTAGCATGCTCGTTGACCACTCTAGAAGAGAATTGAATAAAATATTAGAATAATTTTAGCTTAAATATTTCTTTTACAAATAAGTTATTGTAAATGGAATGCTTTATGTTGCTTCTGTTTTATCACACTGTAACTGTCTCACTCGAACAGTAGACAATTTTGACTTATAATGTAGAGATCACAGAGTTTTTTTCTAAAGTAAATCTTTCTTTCATGGATTATTATTGTTCTCTAATAATAACAATACTCTCTTAACGTGATAAAATGTGTTTTTAAAATGCATCAGTATTTTAAAAAAATCTCTGTAAGAGCAAAAAATTTTCGTGCAGAATTATTTCTCTTAAAAATTATTGTTTTACACATCCCAAGCAAAAATCGCCTGTGGGAAAAATCTAGATACATTTCGTCTGTAATCGGGCGGTACACGACTAGTTGTTGTCTAGATTACTAGTTGGAAAAGGGACTTTTAACTCGATGCGTCTGTATGTGCAACTAGCCATAGTGAAATCGAGCAATTATCCGGCGATAAATCGATAGTTGCAACTGAGGAGAAATCTATCAATCGTCCGATTACTACATTTCCACTGTCGTTAACAAATAATTGCAATCAAGTAAAAATCTAGTAATCTCGATAAATCAAACGATACTAGATTATTTTTGCATGCTTGGGATGATTCGATGCAGTTTTATGCGGTGGTTACGAATGAATCAACTTGCGTTATTTTTTGTTTTCGAAAACAAAAGTTTAGAAAATGAAATTGCAAGTTCATTTTTCTACCCTCGAATTTTTATGAGAAATGAAATAGATAAGATTATCGGAAACTCCTTAGTTAAAAAAATGAGCTAATTTCTTAAGCACTTTTGCCCCGAAGTTAGAATTTTTTTTGTTAGATTAGACTAGCATCTTTTGTAGAACAATGATTTTGTGTCCTATTGCTTTGAAACCCTAATTTTTTAGGACGATAGATGGACCTGATAACGAAATTTATTTTGTCGTAACTAGATATGAAAAAATCGCATCTTAGTTTATTTTTGATCCAATGTCTGTATCATTGCTCACTGTGGCTTGAAGGCATAAATTTTCGTTAACTAAATTATGTTCGTTATTCAAACGTTGATGAGAACATTAGTTTCGTCTACTTCCATCTTTATATCATCACTAGTACATAGATATAGAGGACGATTATCACAAGGACTTGTTGTTAAGCCACATGACTGCACTTATTTTGTCGATCGTACTCAATCTTAATGACTACAAAATTATTAACAGATCTAGTGGTCTAGATCATGAGTCACGAGTCTTTCTATTATAATCAAATTTCCGTTTGCAATGAGAAGTACTACAGGAATCTTGTTTAGTCATTGAAAATAAGAATGCAGTACGAATGAGTTTTATGAAAATGTATTATGTTAATAATAGTGATTGTTCGTAATCGAAAAAAAGCAACACGATAAAACAAGAAAAAGTGACTATAAAAACATTTTGATGATAATAATAGAAGAAAAGTTGTGGTTTGTTCCTTTTTTATTTTTCGAAAATATAAAAACTTTATGTTATTCTATTCAGAACAACATAATTGATTATAAAGATCAACAAAAATAGAAAGAAACCTTCATGCACACGCGTAGATATATTATATTTACAGCTGTCGCACCATACGGTTGGAGAGGAGAGACTTCCATTAATAGTTAGAAGCAATATGTGAGTATTTGTATTTTAGTAATAAAGAAAAAAAACTTTTCGAAAAATGAAATAGAGAATGATGAAAATAATGTTAGTAATCTGGAAAAAAACGAAAAGACATATAGATGACTAATAAAAAGGTAATAGAAATAAATAACAAAAATTTAGTGTCACAACACAAACCAATAACAAGAAATTATAATTAAAGGATAACGAAGAGAGACGACAGGCATTCACCATATTGTTTTGCCATAATTCATGGACTTTTTATTCTTCTTTTTTCCCATAACTAAAAGCGATTTATTCATATGTATTGATTTTTAATAGAACATCAAATATTATTAGATAGAAAAGATACGATGATAATCATCATCTTTTAAGGATAGTAGCATAAAGATCAAGTGCAACAAACCTTGAAAAACCTATAAGAAGAAGAAAATTGTTTCCGTGACACTGTAACAATTGAATGACTCTTTCATCGTGTCTCTTTTCTTCTTCGTCTTTCTCTCTTTTCCATCCATTACTCGTGAGTTAAACTTACAATTACATACACACACACACTCACACATACCAAACATACCTATTTCTCTTTCAATCTCTCTCTTCCCCTCTCTATATTCGTTAAATGTTACCGCGATATTTATTGTTGAATTTAATGAAAATAAGATAATAATAATACAATGGACAATTTAAATAATGATGACAATAATGAGGTGTCAAGTCCAACGAAATTAATTACAAAGTTATATTATCCTGAGTCATTATATCCAAATTCTTCATCATTCTTTGTAGGCCGTACGAATCAACAGCAACCTACACAACAAATGACGTCAATTGAAATAGATTCACCACATTATCCAGATGTGCCAACATCAAAAACTGCTGAAATCGAGATTATTGATCGTGGACGAGCAATTACACCGGTAAGTACAAACAGATTTTTATTTATTTATCTTTTACAAGTCAAATAAGTTCCTGTTTTGAGTATATGTAACTATTATATCGTCATCCGATTGTATTCATTCTGTTTCCTTTCTATGACAGATATTAATGAAGTTATCCGTAGAACAATATAGCCGACTCTTCACAAAATACTTTAAAAAAGCGTTGAAATATACACATTTATTTTAGTAATTTTTATTCGAAAATATGTATTTTTCATGTAGTCACACATGCATATAATCGATTAATTTTTTTTTTTGAAAATTTTTCGTACATTTTTTTGCTGTTTTTTTTTACGGTACCTTGTCTAATATTGTGGTGCTTTGTTTTGTAGGAAAAAAGCACGGATCACGTTACAGAAAAGAAAAGGAATAAAAATAAAAAACATTATTCATTCAACACGTACACAATCAATTTTTTTAATGTTGAAAATATGAAAATAAATAATACATCTCAATTTTTTAGCTCGATGATGGCCATGCTATTTATATCTAAATTAAGAGAAACTATGCAAGCTAGTTTTCTTGCATGATCGTCATTCTGTCTCATAAATTCAAGTGCGGGCCTGGAAATTTTCTGGTGTACGTGTTCTTTTAAACGGAGTACGTTGAGGTAACATGTATTGCATTAGTATATTGATCAAAAAATCAGCACCTTCTATCAACGAAGGAAAATTACATTATTCATCCGTAACTGTTCGTTATCAAACGGCAAGCTTTATAAATCATAAGAAACCTAGACGCTCAAAATAATGTGTTTATTGCATTGCTTGAATCATTTTCAAATTTTTTTTGCTGTCTATATAAATCAGAGTTGGAATCGGCCCGGTAAACCGATACCGGTATTTCACCGGTTGAAACGTTTTAAAACATCTGCTCTTTTTACCCTGTTTTTCGTCAAAAAACTAAAATTTCACATCTTTTTCTGTCAGAATAAATAAGATGGTGCTCAAGATAGATATTATTTTCATCACTTGTTTTAAGGTTCAATGTTATAGACTCGCTATTGTGAAGGTTCTCTCATGTGTACTTGCAAACTATTTCATTTCTGGGAGAAATTCTTTCTGAAAATCGATTTTCAAAAAACTTCGACAGTTTTTCGCCAGTATTTTACCGGTTTTCGCCGATTTTTCACTGGTTTAAGTTATAATTCCAACCGGCCAGTTTACCGGTGGGACCGGACCGGTTCCAGCTCTGATATAAATTGATTATTAATGAGTTAAAATCCCTCTATTTCTTCATCATGTCTACCTATTTTATTTTCATAAGTTTCTATGCGATTCAAAATATGATAACGGAACCAATTAAATTCGCATACATCTATCAAAAGATTATGATGACCTTATGTTTATTTCTACCATTTCTGTACTAGTCAATAATGGGTAAAAGAAAGATCTGCTGGCCAATGATTGATGCTTTGAGTATAGTCAAGAAAAATGATGACAAGGAGAAATGAAAGGGAGCTGTCTGGCTAACGAAAAACCCTCACCAAATGATTTCTCGAATTTTCCTCGGTATGTGGTTCATAATAGATAGTGTCTGATGCTGAGCATAAATCTGATATTCGTTTGTCCCTATAGGACCTTCTTGAATGCGTCTATAAAAACTGAATTTCTAGAGAACCACCAGGTTATCCTAGTATTTGTCCTTCTCTCCACTTGATATAACAGTGATAATAATATTCGTTTCACATCAATGTCGTATTGTACGCCGATATTGACAAAAGGAGAAGAAATATAAAAATACTATTCGCTTTAGAGAAAGGTTGCATCAACTGACACAGAAAAATAAATCTCTTTTTATATTGATAGAAAATAAAAGAGTGTTAGTTAGAACATTATGTTGAAATAAATTTCAAATTTATATACATCGTAATTACCGTGACCTTTTTCCAATTTTATGTGCATGAAATGGTTTTGATATTTCTTTTCATGATATTACAAAAGGTTCATTTGCCTTAACCTGATAAATATAGAAAACTATCGCGATATATGAGAGTTACGCTTGTACACACTCTACGGTACGGTACGATACGAACAGAATTAAATAAGCCGATTTCTATAAGAAAATGGAAAATAAATTTTTCCTCTACTTAAGTTTTCCCATTTTAGAGAATTAGTATCTCTTTTGTAAAGATAAGCAGATATTTCCAGCAAATTCCACTTTACCTATTAGAACTCGTTCAAAATCACCTTATAGTTAAAATGACAGTAAACTTTTTTGTGCAAAAATCAGATATTTATCTCAAGAATGACAAACTTCTTTGTTCATTTAAAGATAAGACTAGCATTTAAAAACACTGCTTGACAGTGTGACTTATCAACGTGACACTATGGATAATTGTTTTTCTTTATATGCTTGTGTACAAGAAACAACGAATAACACAATATAATAACCTTTTTGTCTGTTATTCTTTGTTACAATTCTGTATATTTATCATGTAGTAGATATCATAGAAAAACCAGACTATAATGAGAAGGAAAAAAAAATGTTGATATGTCTGTTTACATACCATATGTGAAGATGATATTAAGGATATTTTTAGAGACAAGACTAGAGTTTTCCGAGTAGATATTTTCATATCTCAGTTGGTTCATATCACATTATGTAGAAAAAGACTTTTCATTTTTATGGTCACACATATGTTTTACTTTTAAATGTGGCACATGTACAACGTGATTTTCTGAAAAACAAAATTTACACAATAAGAATTTGGCTTTAGTTTTTTCTTTTCTTTCTTTTTTTATCTTCGTATTTGTTTTTCAAATAATTTTTTTTTTTTTATAACTCGCGTTTATAAAAAGAGCAAAGGTAAAATGTGTATGCATTATGCCGAGATATATTGTTCGAGCAGATCGAAGAGAAAGAAAAAGCGAAAGGGAAAAAAGTAGATTTTTTTTCGTTTTTTTTATTATTATTGTATAATATTTTCTATTTGGTTATTACATGTGTCCTTCAGTTAGAACGCACATAGACTGTCGTTATTTTGTTGCCACTTCTGATTTATTTTTTATATTTTTCGAAGTACAAAAAAACAGTAAAAATACAGCACATTCACAATCGTGATCAGCCTGTGTATAGGAGTAAATTAAATGCATTTTGTACAGATATATTCTATATCTATTTGTTTGTGTAACAATAGTAGTAGTGATGAGGAGTATGCTGGCATGGGAAAGTGAAAAAAAAAGAAAGAACGAGAAAATTATTTTGGGTTTCCATTAGGATAAAATCTATCATAACATTCTATATAGTGAGAGAAACAAGAAAAAAAAGAGAATCCGGTTATCGATAGGTTGTTTTTATTCTCTTCTTTTTTTTCCGGATAAATTATTTTTTGTAGTATTTTTGAAATACACTTTAATGTTTTAATCGTGATATTATTTGATAACCACAAGACATGTCTCTCGAAGATCAGCACGGAATTGATCCATCACAGGTGAGATGAGATTAACATCGATTAGAATTTTGTTCGTGTTCATATTCTTAGAGCTGAGAAATTATACAAAAAAGATAAATTATTGGTCTGAAAATTTTCAGTTAACTGTAAAAATAGTCGATTTTCTGTTAATGCCTTGTTGCGGTTAGCGTGCGTCATAGTCAACAAAGATTGCAATAGACAGAATAAAATTTCAGACAAGAATTTGTATTTTTTGTCTCAGATTTGTTACATAATTTTTGTTCTTTTATTTTAGTCACCAATGTTGGATGAAAAAGTTGCCTATTCTGATAATAAATCACGTTTTAATCCGAGAGATTATTTTCCAGCAGCTTTGAAAGCACCCGATAAAAGTGTAAGTTTAGCATTCCATGTCATTTGTATCAAAACGATTGATAATCCTCTGAAATGTTTTGAGAAGAAAAAAACTTCGTTCAGTCACACGTATAAACAAGCATAAAGCCATCACAGCAGAACTGAATCTTTCCCTAAGTGAACTATAAATTGATAGATCCTATGCTCTTAGTCTCAATAAATTTTATCTTCGCACTAATAACATTTTCGTTTTCTTTATTTAAGCAACCACCCAATGTATTGTTAGATGCCCGGTTTTATACAATGAAGAAGACAGCAATGACACTATTGTGTCTTCTTATTATCATAATGACAAATTCTGTGCAATTAAAACATGTTTTGAAACTTGGAAGCGCAAATCATTCATTTTATAGTACACAAGTAGCTCTTGGTGTTATATCTGTTCTAATGTGTGCATTGATAGGTAAGTAAACTTTTGATTTTTTGATTTTTTTTTTTCGAATTCTTTATCTCATCAATTTCGGCCTCATTTTCATTCATTATTAATATGCCACTGTTTAATCATTAATTTATAACTAATTAAAAATAGAAAATTATAAATAGATCAGCAATATTAGTTTTATACATTCATTCTATTAATGATTTTTTTTTTGAATGTATGAACATAAAAAAGAAACCTTGAATATCAAAATTTATGTAGACAACATCTGTGAAAATCAAATTTATCTCATTGTATTTGTCATTATTGTATGACACAATAACATATCAATAGATGATTTTTTTTTCTTTTTTTTTTTTATTGTTGAATACAATAATTTAATAATGTTCGTAGATCAATGTTACGAATGTTACCATTAGTGCCACTATTTTATGTTTTAGGTAGAAAAAATATCACTCATCTTTATTCGTCTCTAATATTTATTTTTTCTACCTTCTTTCTTTGGAAGAAATTTTAACGTTTTTCTGATTTCTACATCCTTTAAGAGATTTTTATTATCTCTATCCCTTAGGATTGATCACGTGTAATACCGGTTTACATTTCATAGTTTTAATCTATCTCATGCCACGACACTCTTACAAGTGACATATGACGTTTATTATTCATAGTCAATCATATGAGATGTGTTCATTTTTTTATTTTATTTTTTGTTTCTTATGTTTTCTTTACAATTAAATATTGTTTTAGTGTATGAACTACTCATGTGTGTTATAAAAACCGTTATAATTTAGTGTATTTGTAATCCTTTCGCTCCTCCCCTATTTTAGGATTAATTCAATTGTATTTGAGATTGTTTACTAACTATGAAACAACATCAAACGGCGTTAAAACACAAACGCGACAAGAACATATTATAAACATTCTACCTATGGCATTATTTATTCTATTATTTATATTTAATACTATACTTTTTGGTTTCACAATTCGATGATTTCTTACATTGATATTGTACTGTGTGTGTATGTGTATGTGTAACGTAAATAAATGAAGAGTACTTCATTAATTCGTTCCATTCCATAAAGTTCTTTTTTTTATACACCGTTTAATTTCTTTAATTATAAAAATTTCGAGATGAATTTTAAAAATTAAACTGTAGTTTATATAATAAAATATTCTTAATTTAATGTCGTAGATGTTTGAAACAAAAAGTTGAATAGAAACTTTCTTATCATATAATTGTTGTTCAAATCATTGATAAAAGTATTGGCATTCCATTAATAAGAGATAAACAATGTCGACGACTAGTGTTAGTTATTTAGTCAATTTTTACATATTGAAATACTATATTTTTTTCTTAATGCTTTTTTTTTTTCTTCCACAAATATATCCATCGTTGTTTAATAGTGTAACTGGTATGAATAATAAATAACAATGAAGTAAAATGCAAATTAGCAAATATAAATATCTAATTGAATGTTTACTGACAATCAAAATTTTTTTACTTGACATTATGTGTAGAATTTTTATAAATAATAAAAATATTGAGAGAAAAATCACATTTCTATTTGGTAAATTGATTCTTTTTCCATTCAATAGTCATTCTTTTTTTTTTTCTTCCATTATTATTTGATATTATACTTTCACTTGTTAATTCATAAAATTATATCTAATTAATAATTCTTCTGTGTATTCTTAAATTTGTTTGTCTATTGTTGTGCTTGTTTGTTTGTTCATTTGGATAAAAAACATCTTTCTTTTTCTGTTGCAGGAATAATTTTAATGTATTCGATGCGGTGAGTGTCGATTCTTTCTGGCTATCTAAGTTAATTGTCAATATTAATATTTACTCATAATATTTTATTATTCTAGTGTTGACTACAATGATCAATACAAACAACACAAACTGGATTATATTGACAATTGTGTTATGATATTACTTTTTATATTAGCTATATTCAATATTTTCATATGTGCTTGCAGTTAATAATTAATACAGTTGTTTCCTATACGCAAACGAGGGAAAATTGATTGCTTCAGGAACAATATTTCATCGTTCTTTCTTTCTTTCTATCTATCCATCTATCTTTTTCTCTCGCTCTATATATCGAATAAGAAAAGAGATACATTCTATTCTATTCGAAAAATATGTTTAGTATAGAATTTTTATATACATAAATACATATTACAAATACACACACAATTTTTGATATTATAATTAGATTGTAGTTTATTCTTTTTTTTTAATTTTAATTCATTTTTCTTCGAGGTTGAATGTTGTCTCAATTGCAAATATTTAATTACTTAGTAAAATAAGTATCTATGAACAGTATACCTTGTCATTTATGGTGGATTTTAGATAATAACATCTATATGTGCTAATTTTGTTGGTGTCTACTTTCTTCTTTTTTCTTTTCTCTTTTTTTTTTTTTTATAGAATTTTTGTATTGTTTGGGAATGATTTTTACATTTTATTTTTTTCGTGTTTCAATAGGTTTTAAAGGTTACAGTTATTTTAAATGTAACCTTATTTTCATATCTCAACTGAATAACTCTTTTGTTTTTGCTTCACAAACTGTACTCTGTTTCTATTGTTGAATGGTTTTTGTTTTTGTTTTTCTCTCTCAGTGAAATAAATAGGCTAAACGAATTATAATTAACATTAACAAGAACTATCTATTTTATAAAATATTTTTAAAATTTAAAATCAAATAACAGCGCATAGTTTTATCTTATATTCGGTGGTGATTGAATGAAACTGAAGCCGCAATTGGTTCTAGAAAGGTCGGATAATTCATAGATCTTGAATAAGAATAAGAAATATTTAACTATGTTTTTTTTTTGTGTTATTCTAGGCTTTTACTTGATGTATTTATTAACTTTAAATTACAATGATGTATACAAACAACGAAAATTGGACTTTTTATCAAATATTGGATTAATATTGTTGTTTTCATTATTTATATTCAATATAGTTTTCGCTGTATTTCATTCAATTTAATATCATCATTTATTATTACTAAATTAGATATGATCTCAATTAATAAACAAATTGAACATTACATATAGACGAAAGAAAAGTTATTCTGCTGTTGTAGATTAGTATCTAAGTAATTCTTTTTTGGGATATATATATATATATCTATATATATATATATATATAGTTTTAATATTCTTGGATATTGGTTACCATTGTTAACTCTTCCTTCAAAAACATATTGCTTGTTTTATCAAAGAAAAAGTAATTCAATAACTTATCTCTCTCATGTTTCTCATGTGTATTTAGTTCGTCATTTTTCTTATCTTTCCAAACTTCTTCGTTTTTGGTGAATTAAGTCATCCTCGTGCAAGCAAGCATATATTTCCAGCAATTTTGTTACAATCCGGTTCTTTTCATTATTCTATGCATACTACTATTCCTATTTACTATTTCATCTTTTTTTCTTTTTTTTTTTTTGGTCTATGTATAGAATTTATAGTGAACATCTTTTTCATCATATAGAGAATGCAATTGCAGCACTTTTTTTCTTTATGTTGTAGATCTATAATTTTACTCTTTTTACCTTGTTAATCACAATTTTTTCTCTCGAAATAAAATTTATAATTATACATTTATCCTTGAAACATACGGTGTCAGAAATTTCATGAAAAGCCATCTCTTAAGCATACAATGTTCATTAGACTAGAAATTATGAAGAACTTAGAATAACTAGCGCGCTGGTTATTCAGAAGGGAGATTAAAAAGTCTGCTTACTTCAAAAGAGTTTTTCTTCTAATTTTTAAAAAAAAAAATAATTAATTTTCTTAATCTCATACAACCAAAGTAAGTTAAGTGTAAGTAATTCATTGTGGTAGTTTCTCAATCAAAGCTAAGTATCGATCACTATTTAGAAATTAAATAAACACAGTGATCACCATTTGACTCGATTTGATGAAGAATCGATAATCAACCAATCAGAAAGTCTTGGGATTCTTTTTTGCTAAATGTTTTCGTTTTATCCGTTGACAATGAATAAAAACGATTACATTATGATCTTATTTATGTCTAAGCATCGAAGCAGCAGCTGCTTATAGTGGCTGTTTTAGAATAGAAAGACAACAATATTACAAAATAAGATCGATGCTTAAAACGTATGGGACGGTGAAATCGAGAAAAAAAAGTTCTATATTAATTTTGTTTTTGATATAGTATTGCGATGGAATATCCTGGAGACGTTTTTGTTTTAGAAAGAGCAAAGTGTTTAAGTACAAAAATATATAAAAGTGTTTAATCGAAAATGTTTCTTGGAGGCCACAAAAACCTTAGAACAAAGGGCACCGAAAAACTATTCTGCAACTTCGGTTCCAATTTTTTCATTCAAATATATTTGATTGATCCTTTTCATTTACCGAATTTCGGTGTTTCCGAGCACAATATATATGAGTACACGAGACTGGTTCCATATAATATATATGAGCATGACGAAGGTTTTCGTGTGATATTAAAAATATTGGTCGTGGGTACAAGAGACTGAATAGGAGACAGTTTGATTAAAAATTTAATTTGAGGTTTACAACGCTTTTGTCATATAATTTCACAGAGTAGCTGTGTTCTATTTCAAATAATATCATTTTGTATTAGGGACTTAATAAGCTTTGTTTTTCATGTAAAGTAAAATTTCTGGTAACTTTTCGCTCGGAGTAGAATTTATTTTTTCGACTACGATCGATAGTGATGAAAAATCAGTGACACCGTAAGATATTTTAGAAGCGTTCATTTCGATCGTTACAAAGCACGCAGAAAATTTGTTGTTGTGCAGCAACAGTGACCTATCCTTACATTATGAAGTCTCATATAAAACAAGTAAAAACATAATCCTTCCTACTGGATGAATTTTTCTAAATTCGAAAAGATTGCAGAACAATTTTTCGGTGCCCTTTGTTCTAAGATTTTTGTGGCTTCCAAGAAACATTTTCGATTAAACACTTTTATATATTTTTGTACTTAAACACTTTTATATATTTTTGTACTTAAACACTTTGCTCTTTCTAAAACAAAAACGTCTCCAGGATATTCCATCGCAACACTATATCAAAAACAAAAAAATTAATGCAGGACTTTTGCCTGTATCGCAAAATGGCCTCTGAACGGTGAGAATCATCCAGACTCTTTATTTCTCCTGGTTTAGCCGCACGGTCTGGGACTTTTTGGGAGTTCCAGGACTAGTATGAAATCACATATTCGAACTCCCATAACAATTGGACATAGGAACCTAGTGGAACTGATAAATTTGTGACTCACTCGAAATCGATCCAAAACACTTAAAACAGTCAAAATATTATTTTCAACTAAACTAAATTTTCACTAGGTTTCTGAAATTTTTCATGAGAACAAACCTTGTCATGAGTCTCAGCGTGATCAATAGTCCATGTTTCAGCTGTTATGGACTTTTGGACATATGATTTCTACCAGTGTTTTCTGTCAGGAAATAATGCAATGAAATCGCCTCTTTCGAATGACGAAAATCACAGGTCTCTTTTCATCTTCAGTCAAAAATTATACAAAAATCAACCAGTGCTATAACTTTTTTGAATAAATAGGATTTCTTCAGTAGGTTCATGAAATAAGCAATCAAGTAAGCTAAGCCAAGCCCTCCCTTCTAAGAAATACGAAACTTTATATATAAAGTTAATATGGAGATGAGCACTACTTTGGATAGATCGGAGTATCTACTCTTAAAATCTATGCTGTTTTTGATCAAACGAAGGTTTGTATTTTAATATGGTTTTTGTGAAGCCCCCAAAAATTTGATTTTTTAAAAAATACCCTGTTCTACACAAATATACTGCATAAAATAGATTATATAGATACTGTATTGAAAGCAAATAGTTTTGAATAAATAGTTTGAGATATCTCTCAGATCAAACTTTATAATACTTCTAACAAATCCTTAAAACATATGCTATATTGGTGCCATTTTATATAAAAAACGACTTTTTTTGCTTTTCAAGTTTCTGCAAAGCTTTTCACTGTTTCACGTCATCGTAGAGTAGAGATTTTCTTGTTCTACCGCGTTCTGTCAAAAATTCGATAAAAGTTAAGAGATATAAAGGCAAATATTCCATTATATTCATATTTCATCATGAATAACGTTACACGACGATTTCGTCAATATCAGATGTAATTCGTCGAAAATATTTCTAGAGGCAGAGAAAAGGACGTAACAATGTTGTTACAAGCGTTTTTAAATACGAAATTGCTATCGTAATCATTGTCTTGTTGAAATAGTTCCACATCACAAAAACCATCGCTTAATTTCAACTGACGTCAGCAAAGTTTTAATATTAAACAAAATGAACTGTTGCTGTTAAAGCAATCAAGTTGATCTGTGATCCATTCACTTTTCAAAAACAGATAAAAGAGGAATGAAAATAGAATAAAAAAGAAAGGTTAGCAAGTACTCCCGTACACGCGGATCACCGTAGCGCTGGACAATCATCAGACTAGAAAGTGTGACTGGAATTCAGAAGAAAAAGGATCGCCTTTATAATATATGTGACAATGACAGATATTGTTTATAAAATATTCTATTCTATTTATTCACAAATGTATAAACTAATTGATTTCCCTGTTCTGTCACCAAAAAAGATAAGTGTGGATAGATCGAAATAAGAAACTAGAAAAGTTCTACCATCATGGTAAAAAGATCAGTTCCACAAAAAAAAAAAAAACGTTAATAAAACAGTAGAATCTGAAAAAGATTTTAGAAAACAAATTCTATATACAATATGGAAAAAGTTTTATTAAGAATTTTATTACCTGAGATAAAAGTGTATGAAAAGATTGCAAATAAGTATTTTAATCACCATCAATATTTTCATCATCGATAGTTGACGGCGAAGATACTTGAGATAAAAGATGTTTGTTATTGTTATCTGAAGATATCGCTCGTTCTTGTTTAGGTATAGTTGTATTAATAGCTCGAGTTCGATTTTGCTGTTCATTCAAAATATTTGACAATTGAGTTCGATGATTTTGATCATTTTCACTATTTTGACTCACCAAATTCTCATTTATTTTTGACTGAGATTTTGTATCAGTGTGTGAAACGTGACTATTATAGAATGTTTGATGGTGCTCATCATGACCCACGGTTGCTGCTGAATCACGTAATTCGTTAAACGACAACATTGGATCAGTGGCATCATCAAGTCCAGCCATCGTTATTAATTGACCCAATCTAAACGATAGAAATAACTTGATTAGATTGTTTTGAAACCTTTTTGGTATCTCTCGCCGTGAGATAAATAAACTAAACGAGATACCTTTTGAAAAGGTATAGTGTCATTTCTTACCGTTTTGATCTTAAAAAGTCTAAAAATTTCTGAAATTTTTGAAATGTACTTTCAACAACTTCACAGAAACGATCTTGTTGACGTTGTGCAACACCATTTTGTATTAGGATCTGAAACAAAAAAGAATGTCTCTTGATAAAACATTCCCAATAATGTATCTTAATTGTACCTTTTGAAGTTGATCTTCAAGTTGTCGTCTTGCCTGTCGTTCTTCTTTTAACCTATTTTCTAAATGTTGTATTTTAGTCTGAAAATTAAGAAAAAGATCGTCAGTTTTATGAGCTCGAGTAGAATACGATAGAATATTCACATTTGGATGGTCTCTAATTGGAAGTCGAGGTGTGTGATGGTAATTATGATCTCCACCAGCATAAATTGACTCTTCTGATGAATGAAATGATTTTATATTTGCTCTTGGTGGATAACCCCTTAAATATAAGCACAAGTTAGTAGAAAAAACGAATTTGTATTCAGCTTAACTTTACGGTAATCGACTTGCTCTTGCAGCTGATCGCCACGGTACATGAGGTTCAGTCGAAACCGAACCTGTTGATTTGCTTCGCTGCAATTTTGATGGATTTAATGATTTGTAAAATTGGTGTGGGGGTGTTGGTGTTGGCTTTCTCGTATTTACATTATTTCCATATGCATTCGTTATCATTGTGGTTCCATTATTCATACTTTGAATAGATATTTTGCTAGAAGGACGCTTTGGTGAATCTAATTTGGACCATTTGTACTGGGAGAAAACAAGCAGATAACGTGAGAATAAATTAGTAAGACATCAATTACCATTTCATACCTCACATCGATCATCGCCACAATTGATAAGTAATTGTTCAACAAGTTTTTCTATCGTATCTCGATCAACTAAACTATTATTTCGAATGTCAATAATGTGAATAATACTATTTAATTTAGTTGATTCAAGAAATGCTTTCGCACCGGTTGTTGACACTGAACAGTCTTGAAGGTCAAGTGCTAAAATCAAACACTTTTAGTATGATTAATTTACCTATATAATCTATTTATTATTATTAAATTCCTTCACATATACAAGCGTTTTTCTTTTTTTTGTTGACGAATTCTATAAATACCTTTTATCCATAAATCTTCTTTTAAAATATCGGCTAAATAACCTGCTCCTTTGTCACCAATGAGTGGATTTTGATTTATTGTAATACGTCTTAATCCAGACATATGATCTAAGGTTGGATTTTGATACCGTAAACTTTCTTGCCATACACAATTCTAAAAAATAAAAACTATTATACAAAAATTTAATCAGAGAAAAATCGAACTTACATGACGTCGAAATCCTTGTTGCTAGAAAGAGAAGGAGAAGAAGCGTTATTAGACTTCCCAAGCAAAATCACCTATGGGAAAAATGTAGATACATTTCATTTGTAATTAGACGATGCACTAGTTGTTATCTAGATTACTAGTTGGAAAAGAGACTTTTAACTCGATGCGTCTGTATGTGCAACTAGCAACAGTAAAATTGAGCAATTATCGGTATACTTTTCATTGTATCTTTTTATCATAAAATATATAAAGTCACATTATTAGTACTAACTTATATCATATGTATCTCTAAGAGCGTGCCGTAAGATTGAGACCTCTTCTAATTAAAACTGACATAAAATTAAAGAAGATGAATACAGTGCTGACTGATATTATATCAGTTGCAATCTTAAACGAGTTTAGAGTCTGATTTATGCTTTGAAACTAAGCGATTTTATGCCTTTTCATAAAATTATCTCATATTTTCATTAGTATAGTATCGCTGACAATCTAACAATGTGGTTTATAATTAAGTATAAAAAAGAAAATGCATTTAACCATCATCCAATTATTAACGGTTTCTCTTTTTTCAAAAATCAAAGTAATCAGTATTCTCTCTCTTTTTGTGATTGAGGTTGACGATCACTAATTTCAATTGTTGGAATCCAATAAATCTTTAATATATTTCATGAATAATATAAGCAAAAAAATCTAAATGTGAATTCTGTCTTAACATGCAACATCATCATCAATATGTGAACAAAAAAAGGAAAAACTATATATATATTATTATTTTCACGTATTCACATCATTCTTTTTTTTCTCCTGCTTAACACATAATGGCAATGATACCAAACTGTAATACTATTTTGTGAGGTGACCCTAACCATGGTGATATTTATGATCAATCAAACCGTTCTATCACCAACTTCAACAACAGATTTATTATTTACTGGTGGACGATTAACAGCTATTCTGAGTCTATTTTTTATTCTAATATTAATTTTAATCGTTATATTTCTGATTTTATTTCAACAACGAAATAATAGTGTTTATGATGAACAAGAACTTAAAAATGAGTCAAATGACGATATAACGGCAGATGAACGAAAATCAATTGAACTTGAACGTGTTCGAAAATATAAATCGATACAAGAGACCCCATCGTTACATTCATTTCGCTTTAGTGAAAATGATACAGAAATTATCGATCAAACGCCACCAATGAGTCGAACAAATAGTACTACACATGTACTTTCAGAAAAAAAATTTACCACATAAAATAATAATTATCACTAAATTATACTTATCAGACCACAGAAAACCATTTCTTCGAAATATCGACAGTCATCGACATCAGAATAGATGGTATAATTACATACAGTATCTCAAGTAAGAATAATTAACATTATTTTATGACTACAGACTTAATCTTATAGACGCACGAGGTATTTGATTGATGAGTCATCTGAGTCACTGTCTGGCATTAATCATCATAGTGTGTGTTAATGTTATTTACAAGATTCTTAATCTTATTTATTTTTTAGATTTTTTTACATATTTATTTTTTGTGCAATTCCAAAACTTAATAAATAAAATTTATAATCATAAAGATATAAACAGATTTCTTTCAGCGATTAGATATAAGTTATACTTTACTGGGGAAGTGAAACATTTACGAAATAGACAGAGAAAGAAACTTGCTGTAAAAAAAAAGAATGAGTTTCATATATTAGTTTAGAAAACAAATTTATTTTTGTAATGAATTAAAGTATATTTAGAAGAAATCCATGTATAGTACACGCACAAAAACCTTAAAATGTTCCTTCTTACTTTAATTAAATCTGCTAGAATTTGCGCTCCATGACTTGTTAATGAACACGCAGAAAAATCAACTTCACGAATTTTTGGCGATTGATTCAAATGTCGAGAAAGTACTATGACAAGAAGAAATAATAGAAAACATCATTAATATAATTTCTATGTGGAGACCATTTTATCATACTTTCAAGTCCGTCATCACCGATTGGAGAATTTGTTAATCGAAAACGTACTATTGATTTACATTTTGCAAGTCCCTAAATAACAGACATTTCATTGTAGTGTGCTAATAATATTCAAAGATGAGAAAATATTTACTTGTGCTATTAGAGACAAATCTTTTCTTCGAAATGGTAAACCATTTAGATCAAGTAGAACAAGTTCAGTTGTCATTGTTAGGCAATCTTTTAAATTTAAACAAATTTTTGCTAAAAGTTCCTTGCTTTGAAATATTGGTGGTCTCTTGGATGCTGATAATGAGCGCTTTACATTTCGCCTTTCCGCTGGAAAAAACGAAATATATACAGTTAGAGCAACATTTTAGTTCAACAGGTATCCCACAATACCTTCTGCCAAGTTTCTCGATGGTGTATTGTAAAACTGACTACGAAATATAATTGAACGTAACGTTTTACAAGTGCCAATAGCACCACATAATGGACTCCAATCGTCAAATCTAAAAATATAGATGTTCAGAGTACATAGATAGGATAGAAAATAAAATGTGTTTTTACCTTAAATTGTCCGTATCTAAATCGATAACTCCTTCATTCAGTTTTATTTTAACAGATGACAATGGTATTAAATTAAATTGACGACATAGTTCGTCATACTTCACACCAAAATCACATGGTTTATCAGCCGTGGACTTAGATATTTGTTCACGCATTATAATATCTCATCTGACGTAATAAAAACTAAAACTAAAATGAAAAAAAGAACATTAGTTAGTCTTCATTATTATAGTACAAACTTTTAAACAACTATTGTATTTATCAACTTATGGATGTAATCGTTCACCGCAAAAGGAAGCTGGAATGTCAAAAGTAACGGTTAGTTCAAAAAAGTATATGGCTTAAGCTGTAAATTAGATTGAACTGAGTTCAATGAGCAGTAAGAAAATAAATTAACCCTAACGATATTATATTCAGAGCGTTTTTTCTATCACGATATGTTTTAAATGCGTTAAACGTACTTCATTTCCACGTGGGAACACATTTGAAGCCGCAAAAGTGAATGACGATTAATGTCATAATTTTTCAGTAAAACCGGTGTGTTTCCTTACAACTAGCTTCTCCTCTAAAAGCTTTTTCTTCTGATCGATTGATGTAATGCTAATTTGGCAAAGCCCTAAGGAGGAAGAAACGTTAAACTAATTAATTTTTCGCACTGATCATGATTGAACAAAAAATCAGTGTTAGGACATCGATGAACAACGAAGTTCTACCATGTTGCTATCAAAAATGATCCCCGTCCATCAGCGATAATCGATCTTATAGAAAACAAATCATAGAATGAGACCAACATCATGCATCTTCGAAAGTGTGTTTCAAGTTTTTGTCTACACGATAAATATTCCTGCACGCTAGATGTCGTGGACGGTCAATGGCAACGTTCAGGCTGATTGCGTCGATTCTTCGACGAAATCAGTGCCCAACCACAGTAAAAATGCTGTTTTCTCACAATATTACATTTTTCCCACTCAGTTCAATATCTTTGTCTTGGGGAAGTACTCTTACGAGGAACATATTTTTGGTCCAAGTATTGGTTTCTCATGTGAGATATATATCAAGAAAAATACAATATATAACTGTAGCATTTTATACGACTATACGATTGAACAAGAAGAGTCACTAAATGTGCAAAACTATGTTACTTTTATTATCCTACAATATGACACGAAAGTCTTTTTTCAGTAAATTTCCGCACAATTCATAAACGTTCTTGAAAAATCTTTCGATACTGTTTAACAATTATAATAAGTGACACGAACATGCGGATGTTGAATTTATATGTCTTTTAAGAGTCGGCGACTAATTCTTATTTTGTTAATTAACCAATTTTTCCACGAAAACAGCAATGTTTCTGACAAAAGATATCATCTGAAAGGATGTCATCAAGTTCGTGATCAGAGACCTTTGATGATCTTTCATGTTTTGTGAATACAAATGTCTTACTCTGATAATTAAATATAAAGAAACGGTCTCGATCTAACTTTACATTCGAGTGATACTCCATTTACTTGAAAAACTCCTGAAGTTTGACCTCGATTTTCTTCTAAACGCTCCGAAAATTTTCGAGATTTTTTCAGCATAGGAACTACTTAGTATTATCTATAAGTTTGCCCATACAACTATCCGCGACACTTTCCATTTTTCACCCTCAGTTTTCCAGAAATCCTCTTAGAAAACTGCGGTGCGGAAATACACAGAAGCCGCAGAAAACATTGAAGCACATTGAATTCTTAATGCTGAACAGGAATATAGAGTCATAATGGTTCAATTTTCTTTGCATGAAGTAAGATTTTAACGGGTTTTCTGGAAAACTGAGGGTGAAAAATGGAAAGTGTCGAGGATAGTTGTATGGGCAAACTTATGGATAATACTAAGTAGTTCCTATGTTGAAAAAATCTCGAAAATTTTCGGAGCGTTTAGGAGAAAATCGACGTCAAACTTCAGGAGTTTTTCAAGTAAATGGAGTATCACTCGAATGTAAAGTTAGATCGAGACCGACTTTCTTCACCATTAGAATCAACTCGCCAAGAGCTACAATTTGATGTATAATTATGCAATGTTTCGTTCATTTTCACCGACTTCGGTTTCACCCTCACCAAAAACTTGGGGAGCCTAGAAAACCACTTTCCACACGTTTTTCAAAAACGCGTAAGCAAGACTTTTAGGTTATTTTTGATGGTCTACATGATGGGCAAAGTGCAGTTGTCGCGGCAAGATGCTCTGTATAAAGTGGGCGGACCTGTGTGGAAGCACCCAACAAGAAAATCGTCATAATAAAACAGCATAGTGGTGGCATTTGCTTTGAGACGTTCTTGAAACAGATACTGGGACCTGTTTCTTAAAAAAACTTAAGTAGAAAATCTTACTTAAGTCAAGCTTAAGTCCAAAAAAGTCTTTGTCTTTTTTGACTTAAGTAAGATTTTCTACTTAAGTTTTTTTAAGAAACAGGCCCCGGAACGCTTTGGACACGTGATGATATGTACTCTTTCTTTCCCTCAACTGGTTAACCATCGTGGCACGATGGTTAATCAGTGATGGGCGGTAACATGAGATGAGAAGTCTAGTAGACTTCTCATTTTATGTTACCGCCCATACTTGGCGTCGCTAGATTCGACACGTTTCATTTTTGGATTGCTCTTTCTAACCCGCTGTGTCCCGAAAATGGTAGTAATTTCAAGTGAGGATGATTGTCATCTCTTTCTCTAAGGGAAGTTCTATCTCTATTTTAGTGCTGTACTCGTGCGGCATCTCTCATATTTCCATTTGCTTGCACGAAAAGAACAATTCGAATGGTTGCATGTTAAGAACAAAAAAACGTTACACTCACCCGCTCATCTACTCGGCACGGTGAATATAAGTCAGATGCAAAAGTTAAACGCAAATAATAATTATATTTCATTTTCACGCATTGCATCTTCTATTTTATTTAGCTTGATTGAAGAGGGTTTGATTTCTACTTAGTTATTGCAATTAGCATGTCGAAAGAGAATAAAGCCTTAACTCGTTTAATAAATGTCTGAGGAAATTTAGTTTGAGGTTATTAGCGTTAAGGGAATTGTACTTTCGAATGGGATGTAAAGAAGAATATAATATTTTCACCTTGAGAGCAGATATGAGGCATTACATGCCATTCAGTCTTGTTATGTACATCTAGTCGCATTGCAGTTTTGTTTTTGGCAAATTTGATCCATGTTTTCACATGGTTACAATTTAGTAGAACAGGTAGCATATTTCAGTAAGCACCACGCACTATTTTCACTTCTGCTTGTCTTCTTTTCTGCACGGAAATGACGTTTCAAGATAAAACGTTCTTTTTTTTTGACTGAGAAATGTTAAGGAATGTTTGTTTGTCTCTTCATGAGTTATTTTCATTGTGAAATGAAAGCTTTTTCTTGGTATTTTAGAAAAAAAGATAGTAAATTTCAAGCGTAACACAATTTGGATTTGTTTTGTTCATTTTAATAAGACAAATAGATTTCAGACAGTCGCTTATCTCATCTTTGCCAGTGACAACTGACTTTCTATCAAATATTTGTCGATAAATCTGTTTTTTTTTAAAGATGCTGTATATCGTAATATAGCGTGCGGTAATTTGCACTGGTTTTATTTTCTACCGAATTGAATACGTCAACAAATGTATGCTGTGAGTAATCTATTTACCATGTCGATTGTAAGTGTCGGATGAATCTTCATTTTAGTCTATCAATATCCATCTGTGATGTCACCAAACAACTCTTTCCTTTCACGATTACGATTATGCAGTCGTCGCCATCGTCAGCAAGAACAGCAGCAAACAAATTCTGATCAACAAATGTTATTTTCTCACACTTCGTCTACACCAGCAAATACATCAGTAACAACTGCTAGACGTTCTCTGCCTTCGTACACGAAACGATTTGAACGTAATTATGTATCCGCTTCTTGTTCGATGTTTGCTATTGCGGCGCTAGCTGTTTCTTTGGCGGATTATCGTTGGTTTTGGTTAAATGGTGGCGGATGTAATTCAAAGTATATCGGATTAAGCATGTTTTTTGCTGTGGGCAAATTATATGTCGTACGATCAAACGCACCATGGGATCCATCGGTTCCAAATGATATTTATGAATTTAAAGTTAATGATTATTTAGGTAGTTACTCTGTTAAATTTAATCAAAAAATGATTCACTTCATAATGCATTAGCCTCTTCTTTGTTAAGATCTGGTTGGTTGTGTTGACACACGTTCTATATTAATTCTACGTTTAATTATAACATTGATTTGTTTATCGATATTCTGTTCAACAATTGGCTTTTTACTTGACGCATTAGGTACGTTCGAATGATTCTTGAATTGTCCACAATTAGTATCTTTAATTAAGAAGATTTATTTTTTCATAGGACCGATGAGATTTGGATTGAAATTTATGCGTAGACATGCGTTCTGGCATCTTCTGTCTGGTAAATTTTTTAATAGATGATTTTCTTTCTTCTCACATTCTGTTTCATTTTAAAAAAATTTTATTTTCGTTTTTCTCAAAATATTTGTGAGAACTATTAACTAGTTTTTTATTTTCTAATTTTAGTTCTTCTTTGCACCATAATCAGCGGATTGTGTTTTTGGGCGTCTGAATTGATTTATGATATTCAAGATAAAAATCGTTCAAAAATTGGCAAAAAAGTTGAAGTTCATTTTGATGTTGCCTATTATTTGGTTGTTATATCGAGCGGGTTATCTTTATTAGCAGCCACATTTGCACTGTTAAGAAGATATCCAACATCTGAGGAAGAACATTTTGAAAGGTAATTAGAACATCAGCATATCAAATTATTACTACTTTCTTCTTTGCAATAGACTTATGGACGATTGGTCTCGTAGAGAAGAACCGCTATTTATTGAACGTGCTTTACCAGCAACTACTCCATCATCAATTGCAGACGAGCCACCACCACTCTATTCGGCGTAGGAATCTATTTTTTCTAGTAACGAGTGTATCAACTTTTAAATTGGCGATCAACATCCTGCTTCGAATCTCTCTCTCTCTCGCTTTCTTTTTTTATTTCTTCTGTGCTAAAATTTGCTGTTTTTCGCATTATGGGCGCAACTAAATACATCAATATATTGTTAACAGTGACATTTGTTTAATTTTTATTCTTCTGCTGTATACTCGTAAATTTTTCAGAAGAAGACTATATACAGATGATGATTCCGTCGTTTTTTTATATATATATTTTTTTTTTATTTATTTCTGTATCGAACACTGTATATTCTGGTTCTTTTTTTCTCTTGATTGTGTAGATACTCAGATAAACATTATTATATTAAATAAATAAATAAGTAAATATCATCTTTAGTCGATTAAATATGTGAATAAAGTTTCAGTTTTCATTTTTGCACCGATATTTGAGTATAGGGTTATCCATCTGTTTCACAACTTACGTCTGATTATAGTAATTCGTCGTTTAAAAACATGCATCGACACCAAAATTTTAGGATGTTAATTCTAGGGTCAACTACGTACTTTACAGTCAGTCTTAAGAGTATACTCACGACGGGACATTTCCAGGTGTCATCTCCCATTTTGACTCATTCATATCTCAATCGATAGAATATATCGAGATAGTAAAAAGCCTTAAACGATTTTTCCCCATGGCTCTTGAAGATCCGATTTTCTGGAAAACCAGTTTTTGAGAAATTCTAAAAAATAACCCAAACCTTTCTTGATGAGGCATAATTGTACCCCGCAAATTTTTGATTAAAATGAGACATCTCCCAGCTCTACACGACCTTTCTTTGCTGTTATAGAATGTTATAGAATTTACAAGAAAAGCTGTAAATTAATTTCTTATTTCTGTAGCTTTAAGCTGACAATGAACATTTAGTGCTTTTCTTGTAAATTCTATAACATTCTATAACAGCAAAGAAAGGTCGTGTAGAGCTGGGAGATGTCTCATTTTAATCAAAAATTTGCGGACTACAATTGTGCCTCATCAAGAAAGGTTTTGGTTATTTTTTAGAGTTTCTGAAAACTCGTTTTCCAGAAAACCGGGTCTTCAAGAGCCATGGAGAAAAATCGTTTAAGGCTTTTTACTATCTCGATATACTCTATCGATTGAGATATGAATGGAGTCAAAACGGGAGATGACATCTGGGAATGTTCCCTCGACAGTATGGTGTATCACACAGTATGACTTGCCTTAACTATTAAGAATAGAATAGTAATTAAATCCATAGTTAAGACTTGTTATTCGTTTTCCTGCGAGTGAGACTGGTGAAAAAAAAATGTTTTCTTCCAAATTGTTTGTTATTATCTTTCTAAAGTTGAGTAAGACTTAACTGATACTAGTAGTTCTTTACATAAATTGATCTGAATTTTTAAAATGGATCGATTGACGTTTTTATGTTATATACATTCATAATCGTGATCTAACATAGTTGGAATGAATCTGATTTCATTTGATAATTACGATTATCATAAAATGGAAAGAAAAGAATAAAACTCGATGGTGTGCGTGTTCATATGTATAATAATTGTGTTTGTTGACAATGATTATGAGCAGATTTTTTTTTCTTCTACTGTTCAGAATAGTGTCAGAGGATAAAAAGACGAGAAACTATATTTAATGGAAAGAAGAATAGATTGTTTGAATGACACGCTATCAAATTACCTCATATGTAGTCAAACACTTTAATCATCTGCATTGTACTTTTTTTTTGTTCGATAAAAAATCATCGATTAAGCCGAACTAATCTAACAAGTTAAGATCAAAAATATTTTTATTTTAGTTTTGTAATTTTCTTTTTTTTTTTAGTATTTTCTACAAAATTTTAGTTATTAGATATGATAAATAAAAATAAAAATGCGATTTGTTTGTTTTCTAGATTCTAACTCAATAATGATTAGGATAACATCAGTACCAAGAAAACTAATTTATCTATAAGCGCAATTATCTTGTCAAACAACAAACAATAATACATTTGATTTAATATTTCTTTTATTATTCTAAGTGGAATTTTATTAACTCAGAACATTTTGTATGTACAAGCAAAACAAGTAGCGTATAGTACGTATGAGCTATGGCTCAATGTTGTTGTTGTTTTTTTGCTGGCCTATTAAGAAGATCGCTCCTTGAGAAAAAGATGATAGTCTAATAAATATTCTATCTTGAGAAAAGTATTTTTGCGTCATTCAATAATGGAGTGTAAAGAAACCAGTAGTTAATATTATATGTAAAAATTAATTTTGTTCTATTTTAGAAATTGAATTATTGTTTAAACGAACAACATTAAAATTTGTTCAACCATTGATCATTCGACAGTTAATTATCTTTTATTTGTTTTTACAATTTTTTTTATTTTAATTGTATGTGCATATGTTTTATAATGGTTCTCTCTGAACGTCAAAAAGATGAACTGTAAGTGTATCTGTGTAAAGAATATTTGACAATCTAATTCAAAAAAAATATTCGTTTATTTAGCAATCAAGCCATTGCAGACTATTTAGCATCAAGCGGGTATCCGACTTCATATAAAGAATTTTGTCAAGAAGCAAATATTGTACGAGTATGCAATCATTAGTTAACTTATACTTCTAAGTTTCTCTAGTTTACTTATACTTATAATTTAAATGTGTGTTTTGTTATTATTCTAGCCAGCCAATGAAGCCAGTGATAAAAAAGATCAACTTGAAAAGAAATGGACATCTGTTATACGATTACAGAAAAAGGTATAACTAATATTAATATTTTACTTAATATGATTTAATTAGTCGATATTATGCGTATTCTTAATTTTCAGGTGATGGATCTCGAAACAAAATTACATGAAGCACAACAAGAAGCCACAGTAGGAGGACCCACTCGTGATAAACGTTTACCAACTGAATGGGTGCCTCGTCCTCCAGAAAAATTTGAGTTGAAAGGACATCGTGATCCAGTAACACGTGTTGTCTTTCATCCAACGTTTTCACTACTAGCATCGGCGAGTGAAGATGCAACAATTAAAGTAAGAAATTTTGTTAAAATATCTATATTTATGATTCTAATCTTATTATGTTTTCATTCAGCTATGGGATTATGAAACGGGTGATCATGAACGAACATTAAAAGGACATACAGCCCCGGTACAAGATATTGCATTTGATCATACCGGAAAATGGCTTGGTAAGAATACTACGAAAATATCTATTTATAATTATTTGCTAGTTCTATTTTATTTTGAGTTTCTTGCTCCGCCGATATGAGTGTAAGACTATGGGATTTGCAATCATATCAGTGTGTGAAAACAATGCATGGTAAGTAATTTAATAGAATTTATCAATTTTTAGACTATTTTTATTCCATAAAAAAGGGCATGATCACAATGTGTCTTCGGTTACATTCACCCCAAGTGGTGATCATATTATTTCCAGTAGTAGAGATAAATCAATCAAAGTTTGGGAAGTGTCAACGACGTAAGTCTCTACTTCTGTTTATTTAAAACGATACATCTAAAACCTTAATAATAATTTTCAGTTTTTGTATCAAAACTATAACCGGTCACAGAGAGTGGGTGAGAATGGTGCGTGTTTATCATGATGGTTCTCTAATAGCTAGTTGTTCAAATGATCATGTAAGTGAGAAGACTTTCTTCGTCAATAAAATTCTTCATTTTATTTTCGTTTCTCTTTTTCTTTTAGACTGTTCGCGTATGGGTAATGTCAAGTGGAGATTGTAAAGCAGAATTGCGTGGGCATGATAATGCAATTGAATGTATAGCATGGGCACCTGAAACTTCTGGACCACATATTGCTGAAGCAGCTGGAGGAGATGTATGTGAAACTTGACTTTAAAGAAATGTTAATTATAGAACTATTTTCACTGCTTAGGTGCAAAAACGATCCGGACCTTATCTAGTATCTGGTGCACGTGATAAAGTTATTAAAATGTGGGATGTTGGTAACGGACTTTGTCTTTTTACTCTGGTAAGCAAGATGTTCAAAATTATATATGCCGTTTGATAAGTATAAATGTTTTACCATCTCACTAAATGATGAAATTGATGTTACCTCAGTTTTTCAGACAACCAAATTTTTAGTCGTCTAATCAAAAAGAGAAATTTCATTTTTCTATATTGATTTAATCTTTTTTTATCGAATAGGAATTTATTAAAATGATTGAATTTTTATCACTTTACTGAATAGTGTTAATATTATATTTCTAGAATGGACACGATAATTGGGTTCGTGGATTAATATTTCATCCAGGTGGAAAGTTTCTTTTAAGTTGCTCGGACGATAAAACATTACGTATATGGGATATCAAAAATAAACGTAATACGAAAACAATCGAAGCACATTCACATTTTTGCACATCTCTCGGTGCGTACTATAATACAATCTTCAATTTATCTAGTAAAATTATTCTTTCTCTCATTATGTTTTAGATATGCATCGAAATAAACCTTATGTAATCACTGGTAGTGTTGATTCAACGATCAAAGTGTGGGAATGTCGTTAGGAACTAAAAATAGATAATTAAATGAGCAACGTTATCTTGTTTTTTTGATTTGTTGTTATTGTTTTTATTATAGAATTAAAAATAAACAGATTGATTTAACGTGTGATGACATTTATTTTTATTTTTTTTTTTGTTTTTTGTGTACAACAAGCAATAGATATTCGTAGTCAAACAAAATTTGAAAAAGTTTCAGCACAAAAAAAAAAAATTCTCTCTTTCAGTTTTAATCAACTTGTCGATTTTTACTTGTCGATCTCCGCTTTAATTAAACATCTGAACCATTGTCTTTTTTATCTTTTCATATCCTCCTCCTGCATGGAGGAGACTCCATTAGGAAAAATTAATCTGCAGTCGAGTACAAGAGAGATCATAATATTCCATTACCACGCATCAATCTCGTTTCTCTTTGTTTTTTTTTTTATTATTTGTCTACATTTTTCTGTATTATGATGGCTGTTTGTTTTGTTCTGTCTGACGTTAAATCGAATTGCATTTTATTGTTTATCCTTTATTTTTTATGAAACAGAAAAACAGAGTATCGAGATGAGAAATGAATAAACATGTTTTTTTCCACTCTAAAAAATCTTAAATTGCTTTTATTGTTTTTTTTGCTATTTCTGTTTGCATTCGCGTTATTGTCGTACAGATTATTCTTCTTATTTTTTTCTTATCTCTCGTTCTCTTGTTTTGTTTACAGTCTGTTTCGCGCAAATACAGTTGAAAACGATACAGTACTAGAAGAAAAAAAAAACATTCAACGTGTTTCTGTATTTTTACTTTCTTTATCTTGAAATTATTGAAATTTTTCAATTCGTTTAAAATTGAGTGGTGCTAAACTCAATTTTATTTATGAGATATCAGAATGTATTTATAGGATGATATGAAGATTTTAACTGAATAGAACACGAAATAATATGGAAAAAACGGATATAATCTATACAACAGATAGAATGAATAACTGCAAGTTTATAACAAAGTTAAGTTCATATGTTCAAATTTCGATTAATAGAAAAATGGTTTTTGTGTTTTTCGATAGTTTCAGTTTAAAAAACTACAATGGAATATTTTTCCGCTTGTATTCTGACAAAATGAATAACGAGTAAAAGGAATGGTTTAACATAAGAATATGGAGATAAAAATTTATCTTTTTTTGCGAATTTGTTTAAAATATCATATGGGGTTATACTATAAATATTAATAATTTAGACAAAAATAAAATTTAGCTGTACGAAAATGAATGACAAAAGTTTAATTCATATGAATTATAGTCTGGATTTGAATTTCTGATTTTTACTCTTGTCTATCTTTGTTTCATTATTTCAATCAAAATCAAATTTTTTATATAATAATCATATCCATGTTTGTCAAAATATCAATTATATATGCTACTTGATAATTGTTTATAATTTTTCTAGGGAAATTTGAGCACAACAGTTTACTCAATAATAAAAGATAGTTTTAAATGGCTGAATGTACATAAAATCGTGAAAGATCAACGATCCTACGAGACGAAACGAGACGCGACGAAAATTTTCAAACGAGCTCTGTAAGACGATACAAAATGAAAATTTTCTTTCGTAGGATGCAATTTTCGTCCCATCCTGCCGACCTCTAGTACTTAAGCGAGCTTACAATACTTTTTTTTGTGATCTGTGAAAACGGTGATGAACTGTTCACAATGTTTTATTAACAAAAAGAGAAATGCGTTATTTGTATTATTATCTTTCATCATTATACGAAGAGTATGACATTTTTGCGATTCTTTTTGTTCTATAGAATAATTACCATTTGTCGTTTTCGAATTTCTTTTCATTTTCCAAAAGATTTTTGTTCTTCGATTTTTCTGTTCGATCAACTGTTTGAGATTTTTATCTTCTCATTAATTTCCTGAGATGGCTTGTTATAGATTCTCTAAAGAGTTAGCAGAAAAGTGTCTAACATTTTTGTGAACATAGTGAAACGAGTCTCATGTGACATACTCTTTTAATTGCTCTACATTGATTATCATCATCTTGATAGTCTTCACCAGTTAAGGCGATACGTTAGCGATCACTGACTGGAAACAAATTATGAAAATGTTTTCGAAAACCTGAAAACAAGCTCTTTTAAGGTGACAGAACCAAAACTCAAAAAGCCTCCTATGGAACGGAGGAAAGAGCGCATCGTGTTTGCTTAGTTCAGACCAGTATTAGGAAAAAGTTAAAGGAAACAGGTTTCTATGTGCTGGACTTATACGGTGAATCTCATCGAGCATCAGAAGAAATGTATTATTCAACAAATTATTAAACAGAAGAGAACAGAATGACGAATGAAGATGTCGGAAACTCTATAGGAAGTACGCGGCGTTACAGTGAGAGGTTTGTATGAACTATCTTGCAGTGGCGTAGCCAGGACTATTTTAAGGAAGAAATCTAACATTTTTCAACCAAATCGCCAATTTTTTTATTTCTAAAATTGTTATCGTTTTACTCTATATCTTAGTGCTGGGTTATCTTAGAACTGTTTTTATTATATTTCATTTTTAGAGCAGCAAAAAGCTGAGTCCACATATAAATCTTTCTGTTCTTTATTCTTTACTGTGTTTTATTGTTTGCTAATCTTGCTACGAAAGCAAGAAAGGTGAACGTTTATCTATTCAAAAATCTTCCCCATTCCCTGACCATTATTTATTCTCTTAGAAAGTACAACGCCTACCGGTACTACATTTAAGATGGATTGAGGATAAAAACAAGGTCAAACAAACACATGCCGCTGATAGCTGATATTTTATTCTATTCTTTCCAGTTAACTTTCCAAGGGGGAGGGAGCACATGTCTCTCCCTTGGCTACATCACTGCTATCTTAAAACAGAGAAGTTTGCATTAAGTTTCTAATGGACTTACTTGTGAGTGTCGATTAGGATTTAACTATTACGGAGGTATGAATGAAGATGTGAATGAGTACTTTAATGCCTATTTATTTGTGCAGTAAAATTGAAAGTGACAATGATTGCATTCGAATGTAATAATTAGCAGAATACAATAAAATAAATTCTGTGTAAAAAATCTCAACAGTAAAAAACAAAATTGTAAAATTCAAAGTTTGAAAACATGACATACAAACACAAGAAAACATGACATACATAACGGGTGCTTTAGAATTAATCAGTCACTTAGTATTTTGCTCATATCTCAGCTGGATTTTATCCCCAAGCTTTATTGGTTTTTTAACAGATGCGACGTGTGTAGAGAATTTCACGACGCATCTTTTAAAAACTACAATAAAGCTTTGGGGATAAAATCCAGCTGAGATATGAGCAAAATACTAAGTGACTGATTAATTCTAAAGCACCCGTTATATGCAGCAGTAGAATAAAAAAATCATAAGTATTATCGACTGGTCTCTTCGTATCACAATAAATAAATAACGAATGTTTTTTCAAGATAACAAATTTTCTAACCCCGTGAAAATGCTTGTTTCTTTGGCGAAAATTTCTACAATTTGCTTAAAACTAGGACGATGCATGACTGGCATAAGCCAACAACGTGTCATTAATTTGTATATAAAGTCACTACATGCTGGTGGTTGTTTCAAACGTTCGCCTAAAAAAGATCTATAGATTTGAAAAAGGATATTACGTTCTGCACTTGGAGAGCGTCCATGAGAAGATCAGGCAAACTAGTAGTAACTTATCACATGTCACACATTAACATGCTTTTTTCAAAATCAATTTTTTATGATTTTATGTGAAAAAGTGAAAAATGATATAAATGGAAATTTTTAGACCTTCGAACCTCGAAACAGTCGCATTAAGAATTTTTCATCTAAAATTTCATGATAAATTTTACATTCATCTGCGACCGTGTAATTTCACTTTTAACTTTACGGTTTCTTATCTGTTGTTTTCTAGAAATGCTTTATTCGAAAGAGCCAAAAAAACTCTCTAGGAACTGTAGTACTTACTCTTATTTGGCAATAAATATGATATATTATAACATCAAGAAGAAAGTTCAGATATAATAGTTTTGACTATGTGGACACTTCGAAGAAGAGAGTCCTATAAGATAAATTGGGCCACTTGCTCAAAGTTTCTCAATAAATGCTTTTTAGTTAAACGATATTTGTCATCCAATATGTGTTTCAAAAATATCTAACTCTAATTCTGGTATTATCTTGGATAATTTTGATGGTATTGCATATGTCATATTTTTTATTCAGCCCATAAGACTACAGCCCATATCGTATAGAATTTTTTTTCATAGAATTGTCATTATTAATGAACAGATTTAAGAATACTAATCTAATTCATTACCGCAATGTACAAAAAATCACAGTCAAATGCTCAAGATCATAGAGCCTGCTGACTTTTAGTTATTGAAATGCAATTTTCGCATATGTTGTAGATGATGAGATGACTAATATCTTTTACCTAAAGAATATTTCAGAAATTTACTACTGAAAAATATCAGAGATATGTCTTGGAAAACTCCATGTATTTGAATAGATCGGCCCGAATTGCCCCGAGTGAGAGATTCGGGCCCATTGGAAATGCTCGTCTTCGTTTGAATACTGTTCGAAAACTGAGCAGAGATTTTCAGGAGATTTTTTCTAATTCATTTGTCAAAAGTAAGACAAATGTTGATTGTATCTTAATATTTCAATATCACTTTTATCTGATCAAAAATGGCTTAGATATACACTCAATACTGAGAAACTTTGAGCAAGTGGCCCAGTTTACGTCATAGGACTCGATATTTTGAACGCTTTATGGTACTATGTACAAGGAGTTGCTCTGCTACTTCAGATAGTTACCTTTTCGTTATGAAAGTAACCGAAAAGAACTTGAAAAGTAACTTTGAACGAACTAAAAGCAACCTGATAGTTACTAGTTACTTGGTAAGTGAAAACTCGGTAGTTATCGTTACAAGAGTAATGGTATTTCGATACTTACCTGTTACTTTTGCAACTGATAACTTTTCCGTTTCTGTTCCGTTACTGTGTAATTTAAAGTGGCGGTAACTTTGACATCTCTATGTCAAACTAAATGAATGAATAAAAATCGTTCAAATGTCACATTCTGGCTCTGGCAAATAAAATTTTGCTCGACATAAACGAATAAAACGACATACTTCAAGAACTCACTACTCGGGAATTTAGACCAGCCACTCTTCATAAAACACTCAAAATTCGACCAGTTTCAAGTTTGAAGGTCAAAATATTTGAGAGTTTTAGTCATTTTATGTAGAAAATCACATAATATCATAAAAAAAGTCAATTTTTGTATGAAAGCGTTTCTCAATTTTTGGATCATGGACATTCCCTGAATAGATTTTACCTCGTTGGACATAGTCTATCACTTCATGATTAGCCAGGCCATTATAGGGGGTTTTAGCTTGGCTAAATATCTCCCATATTGTAACACCATAACTCCACACATCACTTTTATGAGTATAGGGCTCGTCTAAACGTAAAACATGAGTGAACATCATGTTAATATGCTGTCTTTCTTCTCGCAGATTTTCAGTTGAGTTTTATTGAAGATGTCATGAAAAATATTTATCGCTCGAGGTAAAAGGACCTGGCGCTTTAAGTTCATCTGCTTGAAAATATAAAGCATACGTGCAAATAATTCAGCAGCCCACCACCTTGTTGGTACTGCTTTTAACGTCGAAAAATATTCTTCACCATGTTCTAAACATCTTGACAGACCAAAATCGGCAACTTTAACATTATCATTTTTGTCCACTAAACAATTACGAGCGGCCAAATCACTAAAAAATAAACCTCAACAAAGATAAGTCTTATCAAGGTAGGCCAACAGTCTAAGATGGGATTCCTATTGAACTTTCCTTCTACTAACTTTACTTCAGTTTCGACTTTCGCTCGTCGTTCGCATAAGAATGTGTGCACTTTAAACAAAAAGCATCGTATACAAAACCTAAAAAGGGCTTAGGGAAGTATTCCAAGCAGATACCCTTTTTAGTTTAGTAAAGTGATGTAGATAGCAGAGACTTCAAAAATCGTGTATGAAACAGGTTTCGTTTACAGGTAATATAGTCTTAAAAAAAGGTTTAGTAGAGACGTTTTAATGTCTATGATACCACATGTGAGGGTACAATTAGGGACAATTCTTGTCATTTTTACCATAGAAACTTTTACTTAATCTTTTACTTTCATTCTAACTTTTTATTTTTCGACAGTTCTCCAGGACTTCATTGAAAGAAATTTCATAAAATAATCTATTGAGATTACCGGTGTATAACTCGTTGCTGTTCAAGATAAGCCATTCCTTCAGCAATATCTCGACAAAATTTTGTTAATTGGTTTCGACTTGGCCCCTTTATAGCCTTTTTAAGATATTCATCCAAACTTCCTTCTAAATAATCATGATCCTTTAAGCAAGTTTCATCTCACTCTATTTGATAACACACTTTCAACAAGTTCCATAACAATCATGATGGGATCTTTCATTGCGGCTATACCAATAAATTTGACAATGTTTTTATGATTATACTCCGATAACATTAATGCTTCTTTGATAAAGTTACTTCTTTCGTTTTGCATTTGTGCTGTAGGTTTATTTGGATTGGAAGGCATATGTAAAATTTTAACAGCTACATTTCGCTTTCTGTACTCTGCTTTCACTACTTGTCCAAAATTGCCCTGAATAGAGAACGTTTATCTTGCATATTTTATTAAATATGATCAGTAAACAGTTAAATATGATATAACTAACTTGGCCAAGCTTTTCATTTTTGATAATTTCATCATTATCAATAATAAAACCGGGACGTTCAACAGGTCGAATAAGTTTTGTACCTTGAGGATAGCAGCAACTATTATGAATAGAAACAGAAGTACTTTTTTTTTTGTTTTCTTACCATCTGTTTTTAATTCTTCTTTGCTGAGCAAATAATAATCGATTAGCTCTTTAACGGATGGTTTAACCGCACCCCCATTTACAAATGAATATTTCTTAACAAATGAAATAAAGTATCAATGGACTGATACAAAAAAATAAGTAAATTTGTTTCTACATACATTATTAGTAAAATTAATGACAAAATGTCGATCTTCGACTGCTGATGGATCATTTGAACGAGTCCACAGTAATGATAAAACGCATTGCTCTTTATCATTAACTCTTACAAGGAAATCACCTTTTGCTTTTAGTTCTTTAGCAGCATCCTGTCGGGGCATGATGCCATGAAAATATGGTTGATCTTCAAGTTTATTTGTAAGCTAAATTAATGAATAGGTGAATTCTTTTTAAATTATATTCTGGTCTCCACATTTTTACCGATATCGGAGAAAATGTCACGCAATTATCCAGTAGTTGTCCACTAGTTGCTCCACTATCGCTGAGAGCATCTTCCAAAATCGATCGTACTTGACGTTGCCAGACTGATTTTGCTTGTAAACTTTCTATATTTTGTTCTTCAACGAATATATCTTTATGTACCTTATAGGAACTGTAAAATGAGTACATAAAAAAATGTGATAAAATAAACTAGAAATTATGTACTCTTCGCTATTTTTCACTTGACCAATTGCTTTCTGATTGATAGTAGTTGGTATCTGACAATTTTTTTCATTCGAACTCAGTGCTTTAAGTCTAAATGAGACAAGAAAATTTCTTAATCATTGTATAATATTTAAGATAATCATAATTGAACAAACTTGTCGTTTAAATCTTCAATTGTTAATATATCGGCAGCTATTTTATTTATATATAAATCATCCACACCGGCTGTTTTCAACAAACTGTCATTGAATTCTTCTACACGTGCCGTTATGCGTTTACAACTAGAAAACCAATAAAAAATAAACATTAATCGAAGAATTATTATTGTCAGCTATTTACTTCGAATTATTTTTACAAAATTCTAGATAACATGATTTTGGTTCGATAGGTTTTGTAATTTGATAAGTTTTATCGACAATTGTTCTAAATTCTGTTCGCGTACAATCTGTATAATCGGCTAATTTTTCCAATATTGTCTTCCTAGAACAAAATCGAAACATGATCGATCTTTTTCTATTTAGAACAAATATTTATATATACCAGGAATTACTTAAAATATTTTGTGTATCTTCATGATAGGTTAGAAACCTTTTTATTGAATTTACATGTTGTCCTTCGACAAAATTCGTTTCATTCAATTTTAATATGTATTCGTTATGTATTAAATGTAAATCTTTTTTCACAGAGTGGCATTTTTGTTTTGCTTGTTGTTTAGCTTCTTCACTCTGTTTTGGATCTTGAACAAACAAAAATATAATGATTTAATTTCATATCTTTTTTAGAGTCATTCGGTTTTAGTCATGGCTTATTACTTGTATTAATAGTACGAAATTTTGAAGTTGCCGCTGCCATGGCTTGTGCTTGTATCAGATATTTTGACTGAGTCTCGCTTAAACCATTTTGTGCCTAAAAACGGTCACGAATATAGTGTGGGAAATGAATAAAAGCTAATAAACTTATTTGATAAACTACAAAAAAGGTATGGTCATTAGTAATAACTACTAGAAAATAGCCTATGCAACTAAAGAAACAATCATCAAAAAGCCTTTTACCAATTTCTAACATAGTCTACATAGTTATAAACGTATCCTAACCTGGCCCATCATTTAAATGTTAAGAAATAGTTGAATACCTATTAATTCTATGTACAAATGTTAATATATCTACATCACAGTATCTTTTCAATATTAAATGCTTTGAATCTATAGTAAACAAACATAGCAAAGCTAGTGTTTGTTATACACAACTTGAGAATGTACCAAACGTAACGAGCAGCGCAGAATGAATGGCGGTCTCAGTATTCTCTTAATATCACCTTCACTTTTTGTCCGTCTGAATTAATTTTTTTTTCATCATTCAATTCACTACAAACTCCTAGACTCAATATTTTTATTTACACTATTGCTATATTTTTAGATAATGAAAAGTAAAGACTTACAAAAACTTGTACTTTCTAAGTATCAAAATGGTGCTAATCCAAGGAAAATATTCCATCATTTAAGGGTACTCCTCCTCTCATTTTGGGCTTTCCGTAGAAATGCTGTGAAATAAAGACTAAAACTCACTAAGGTTTCATATTTTCAGAACTGACTGAAAACTTAATGGAGCACTTTTTCGTTTTTGTTTCAAGCTTTTAATTATTGCCGTTCCAGTTTCCAGAAAACTAAGTTTTTCATTGGATCACATCACGACTCCCTTAAATTTCATCCGATCGAGTTAAACTTTTACCAGAGATACTCAAGGTTATACCGCAGAGCAATTGTATTTTAGACCTTTCTTTACCGAGTTACAAGCGACTGGACTCAGAACAATTGAACGATGGTGCAAAATGGTCAGGGAGATCGGCTCTATCCAACTGTCACGTTCATCTGGCTGCCCGCATACTGTCCGGATAAAAGCAACCATTTAGAAAATTAAAGATCGATTAAAATGCAAAAAAAGAATATAAAATCGAAGAATTCAATGTTTCCAGAAGAAGCATTCAGCGGATATAGCAAAATGATCTGGGTTGTCAGGCATACAATTATTGAACCATTGTTTACAGATCAACACAAGGCCGCAAGAGTCAAATTTACAAATTGAGTTCAAAACAATTTTAACAAAGAACAAACAATGAAAATGTTATTTTCTGATGAGAAAATGTTTGATCTTAATGGTGTTTACAATTTCCAAAATGATAGGAATCTGGGCAGTAGATCATACTACTGCAGATAAAAACGGTGGGGTCAAACAACAACGAGGATAAAAAAAGTTATGGTATGGTTGGGAGTATGTTCAAAAGGCGTCTCACTATTGGTTATTTTTGAGAAAGACAAGGTTACACACGCACGTTATATCAAAAAAGTGCTTCCAGTTGCTTTAAAATATGGAAACAAAGTATTCGGTGATGATGACAACAAGATGGTGCTAAGCCACATATTCATGCGTTTGTATTGCTTGTCAAAGAGTAATGGAGCATATCGTCGCTAATAAAAACATCTAATTTTATAGAGAATTGACTGCTGAATCTTTTAAAAAAAATAATTCAGACGGACAAAAAATAAAGGAGATATTAAGAGAATACTGAGACGGCCATTCATTCTGCGTCATCCGTTAGAAACACGCATCCTTCACTAAGTCGTACCCAGCGTGATCAGTTCTAGCATTAGTTTCGAATAGAGCAAAGAAAACTAGTTAAGTTTGATATAAAGACTCTATAAAACTGAAGATTGAGAATTTTGAATATCGAGTGTCACAAGACCTGGTCCATCTCGCTGTTTTGTGGCAATAGTACAAAGTATAGCAGATTAGGTGATATATCGAATAAATATGAAAAAACATACTTCTCGTCTTTCGTTATCAAGACGTTTTTTTTCTTCGTCTAAATATTTTCGTGTGTCCAGTTTTTGTTTGATCAATTGTTCCAGATTATCTTCTATAACATTCTTTTTGAAATTTTCCGCATTTGAAGTAATTAACGACGCCATTGTAGACCACTGCATGAATAAATCATGAGATGCCTAAATATATAATTGTACCATTTTATGAAAGAATAATGGATCATTCAATGGATCTATCGATACTCACACTACTAATAGGATGCATTGATGGCCATTGTATTTTATTATCAATATATGCTGTTAATTCTTGAAGTTGCTGTGCATAGGCAGTATCAATTTCAATACGTTTGTACAATATTTTTTTTATTTCTTGTAAAACTTTGTATTCTTGTACATGAAAATTGCTGAGTAAGCGAAAACCTTCGTCGGACTGAAAATTTTCAGCAATCGTGTATAAGACATTTTGTCGTTGATGAAATTCATCATTTCTATAGGATCCACCGACGAACATGATTAGAAGTTTACTAAAACAGATATTTTCGTTATTGTTTTCTGTAAACAGGTGTATGTTGTGTCTAAGAGCTTTCTGTGAGTTAAACCCTAGTTCGCTATAACGACGCGTACTTCCTATAGAGTGTCTGACAACTTCATTCGCCATTCTGTCCTCTTCTGTTTAATAATTTGTTGGACAATCCATTTTCACATTACTTTTGATTCTCAGTGAGATTCACCACATAAGCCCAGCATGTAGAAACATCTTTCCTTTAGACACGTTTCTATGAGCTATAATAAAATTTGACCGATAAAAGTTTATTTCTCTTTACTTAATTATGACTTAAGTCTGAATTAAGCTAGATATCAAATTTCAGTTACATTCTAAATCTAGGCTAGTCTTGAGTTATTTGATGAAAACAATATAGAATATGTCTTAACCTTCTCCCCCAGAATAGAAGAGCATGGCTTTCTATTGCGTCCCAGTGGATCAAACTTTTTAGGGTGGCCTTTCAATCCGACCATCCAACCAAAATTTTCTAAAATTTTTCGAAACTCATAAAAAGCTTAAAATAATAATATTTGTCGTTTCACAACGATTAACTAATTGGAGTGACAGTTAACTAATTGCATTCAACAATTGAGAACCCGTATTTTAGACTTCAACATCAATTCTGAAGATCGTTATACTTATTGTCTAGTTTCTATTGATTTGAGTGTAATGCAATTCGTCGCGATGAGAATTAAGAGATAAACCTAGATCCGTCCCTAATTACTTACACTCACTTCCGATGTCAGCGTGTCAAAGTAGATAAAAGTAGAAAATTCTATGTGTAAATACTGGAAAAATATTTCGATATTTACCTTCAGTTTTTTACGGAACATATATCAATTGTTGAGTTTTCTTGCTCACTCGTTTGAGACTACGGAATCGAGACAACAAAGGGAAAAGTAGAGTGGAAATTAAATTTTCAAAATGGAAGTCTATTTTAACCCCGATCATTAAACAGCAGACGATTTTTTAACTAAACTACACAAGACTTATCAGCAAAAGCCTATCTCTTCTCTAGCCAATCATTTTGTAATTTATTTGAATTTAAAAATATTATCTATTAACCCTAAAACCCCTAATACAAAAATCCGAAAGCGATCAGGAAAGTCGTGTACGCTATTCTCAGAAAGTTGCAAAACTAGATTTAAGAACTTGTAGAATCAGGATGGATTGGTTTAGTGCTATATTTGTATCGAGGACCATGGTGTCAAATGGTACTACCATGGTGGTAGTAAGATTGTAGTGACGAATTATTATATCATAAGATCTCTCTGTATAGCAGCCCGTGAAGTGAATACTTGATATTTCATATGTAGCAAATGTATCCTAAAATGGAAACCCCAGTTTGCTTTCACATTCAGAACAAGAAATTGATGTTGAGTTTAAGTGGCTCGAAGAAAAGCACGAGAAGATTTGGTCCATCGAAGTTTTTCCAAAAGTCCATCGAAAAATATCTGAAACTAGCTCGCCCTGTATTGTACCTCTTTTGCCATAAATAGACGACTTATTTAGCTATATAGAATTCCTTAAAACATCTCAGATTTCGTCAATAACTTTGAAACTACATGTATCACACCACAATTTTTATTACATACGATATGGTCAAAATTTTATCTATGTATATAAAACTGTGTTGTCTCTTTCATGACAGTAGAAATTTGATCGTGTTTCTCAGTTTCTTTTCTCTTTTTTTCTTCTATTTGCGTAATTGCTTATCTTTTTCTTCTTTTGCACCGTATTAAAACAACAAAACTTTTATAAACTGTCCACAGCAGAGTTTAATATGAAACATTCGTCGACAATTAATGCTGGATGTATTACCATACCTTTCCATGTTTATCAAACCGGCAAAAAACTGCCAATTAATCTTGGTTAACCGTCCAGTTGAGTCTGCGCTTTACCATCCGGTTAACCGCAATTAACCACGAACCGGCACAAAATGCTCGGTTGACCGTGGTTAACTGACGGGTTTTTTGCTGAGCAAGTGATATAACTATAGATCCTCTTTTGAACATTTTTTCATTTTTCTTTTGAGTGTGTGTTTATGTGTATGCAGTAAAACTGTCGGTTAGTCAAAGTCCATACCGGTGAAGTTCTGGGCTGAGTAGTACCTGTCTGCTTGCCAAAACTCTTAGATGCAGTCCGAAAGATATTTAGACTAAGTCGAAGTTCACACTTCAAGAAGTCATGAAAAAAGTCTGAAGTTTTTCGATAAATCATGTTGTCCTTATATACATATAGTGACCCCAAAACAAAACGGTGATTGAAAAAGAAACGGTTAACTATCGGTTCTCCGAAATAATGCGGTCAATTGGCGGTTAATTTTCCAAACCGCTGTCTCAAAAATATCGGCGGTTCACCGCAATTAATTATAACAAACCGGGGTCAATTAGCGATTATTCGAAGAACCGCGCTTAATCGACGATTTTCTATAAAAATAGACGACGTGGGTTGTTTATAAGTGATTATCTTTTTTCGACTGAAAATAGACAGCAGTGATACATCATGAAAATTACCAAACTTAGATGGTCATCTAGAGTTAAATATTAGCACGAGCATCGAACTTTCACGATGTTTTTCAAGAAGTCGGAAGAAGAGAGAACGAATAAATTAAATAACGATTAAATTACAGATTTGTGTATTTTATCAGTTATTCATTAATCATACTATCATGTAAGATTGGAATATTATTACTGTCACCTCTACGTTTTGAATACAATTTAAATGAACTGTAATAACTAAGTTTTTGAGGTTACTATCATTACTAATTATAAGATCTATTATTCTCGTTTAGAGATCGTTTGATCTTATTGGAGTAATGTTTGATTTATATATGAGAAAATCGTATTAGTTTTTATGATATTGACATAATCGATAAAATTTCAAGAGTCTTTCAGCATCTATTTTTTCTTTTTTTGTCCTAGCATATGGGTGTTAAACAATTTCAAAATTATTCTACTTCTATTAAAATAAGTGAAATAAATTAAGTTGGCAAAGTAGCAAAGGTTTATTTTAGTGTTCTTGATAGATATTTGTGTCGTAGTTGAATCAATCTTTTGTGTTCTGTAAAGAATATATAATTAAATGACAAGGATGAAGGTTTTATTACTCTTGTTTAAATGAAAAGAGTTGGAAGTAATCTTATCACTTCGTCGCTTTCTTTATCCTCATCTAGCTCTGATCCTATGCGAACGACTGATAATAGTTTCAAGAGTCAAGAGAATAATAGCTTTTTTGCAACCCAAAACGTGTGGATTTATCGGATAACCATATCCGCTTCTGTAATTCAACTGAAAACATTTTAGAATGATTTTTATCATTATACAAAAATCATCAGAAGATCGAGTATTTAATCGCATCCATTCACTATAACAGTAGCAATGTGTTCTTATTAACCACGACTATAGGTCACTGTTCGATAGATGCGTTAAACATAGGTTACTTCAAGAAAAACTATTGTAGAATTTTGTAAGACCTTATTATGTATGCTAAGAAATATTGCAAAAATTACGGATATGCATTCACGATAGACGTTTCGTTTAAATATCAGTTTGTTTTTGATTTATAATAATAGGTAATTAATATTAGTATAACAGTTTAAGAATAAAAAAAACTGTATATGTACACTATTTTGTCTGATAGAAAAGGCAGGACTATTGTAAGAACCGTCTATATTATTCATTAAATCATTTTTTGATAAACTGGTACAATTCATAGGCAAATATATAAAACAAATTTATTTCAATGAGTCTGCCATATTTCATTGATGTCCAGTTTTGCACATGATTTTAAATGTAAGGTATACATAGACTGCAATATAAGCAAAACCCACGAACATGAGAATAATGGCGAATGCTAGTTGAGCTTGAATTATCCTGTAAATAGAACCGTTGAACCATGCGTTGTATTTATTAACAAAACTGCCGTAAATACCAATCATAATTAGGGAAAATATGATAAGGATAATTTGTGCGACCAAAACGTATGTAGACCATTGACGAGAACAACCTTTTCGTGTCACTAAAAAATATTTTGCATGTCTTAACTTGATTTCTTTTCTCTTCTGCAGATCAATGAAACACTTACCGAGCAGAAATGTTAGAACAATTGCTGGAATATAAACCAAAAGTGCCCATATTCCTACTCCAGTTTGTCGATATGTCAATAATGCTAAACTAGCTATTTCCAACATCAATAATAATGCGACTAGCACAGTTTCAATAACAGCCAAGATAAGAACTGTTATTCGTGGAAAAATAATTTTCCATCCGTCAGGTACTGAATAGGCAAGGGGTGGAGGCTGCGACTGCTGCATTTTTTTATCATGAAAGTAATATCAAAGAACAGTGCATATTATGATTTATATACAGAAGCACTGATGAACAAAAATTAGTTTATACTGTATTCTTATTTGACTTCACACCAAAACAGCTCGAAAGAAAAAATAAATCAACCTTGAAAAAAGTATAATCTCTTATTAATTTATGAATTAGCAAGTAAATACAACTATATGTAGCTGAATATTGAATCGAGATGCGTCGTGGAGCGAAAAAAAGTGCTTCGGGAAAATTTCGCAAAATATTGATCCCTGCAAGAAATGATTCAAGTTTGTTGAATAATATACAACTTATACAAGTATATTTTCATATACAAGTTATTTTAACGTTCGAACTTATGTATGTTTTTCATTTTCAAGTGATTCAGACTGACTTTTTAGAGTTAAGCGATGTATGTCTGTTTCATTTTTAGAAATTCCAGTAAAAAAAATATATAACATTGAGACAAAAAAACTTTTCATTTTTTCGACGATTCGATAATACTCCATAGTGCAGTATTGTTATCAACAGATAAATAAAACGAAACTTTTTGAGAGAAAGTGACAAGCTTTACAAGAGAATAATTCACTGTGTATAAGATCTATGAGAGAAAATGCTTATGATTGTTTCTAACTTTATCACACGTCCATTCTTACCACAGCAAAAATTATTGGTATATCCTAAATCGAGTAGCGAAGGGATAGATGAGAAAACATTTTTTTAAAATAAAATAAAATCTGTTTTATCTATTTATCAACTTGTAATTTGCGTCAGTCGAGGTCTCCTCTTCTTATCTTGCGTAGTATGCTCCTGTTCAACAGTCTGATCATTTTGCTCATTCATTGCTCGATCATCTGGCTCTGGTAGATATTCTCGTTTGGATTGCATCTAATTCAGCGCAAGATCAATTAAGATTGATCCAATCATCAAAACATAATCTAGTATCGTCCGATTTATCGAGATTACTAGATTTTTACTTGATTGCAATTATTTGTTAGCGACAGTGGAAATGTAGTAATCGGACGATTGTTAGATTTCTCCTCAGTTGTAACTATCGATTTATCGCCCGATAATTGCTCGATTTCACTTCTACTTTGTTGCACATACAGACGCATCGAGTTAAAAGTCCCTTTGCCAACTAGTAATCTAGATGACAACTAGTCGTGTATCGCCCGATTACAGACGAAATGTATCTAGATTTTTCAGATATGAGTTTTTGTGTTGGGTGACCC